CGACTGCTCGATTTTCTTGCGCGATGGGGACGAATTAACTTTCCGGCACCCCTGTCGCGGACCCTGGCAACCCTTTCGGCAACCCTTTGATTTCAAGCAATCCCCGAGGGTGACTCCGCGCGTTCCGATTACAATTTTATTTCCTCCCCGCTGTCTTCGATTACTCTCGTCGATCGACCGTTACGCCGGTTTACGGAATGCAAGTTGCTTTTTTTATCGCGTTATCGCGATTCATTACAGAGTCCAAATTTTATCATGCACCGTTACCTTCGAACGTGGTGCATTTATAATACAATCGCTCGAAATGAATACTAAAATAATACAAGTTAGGAAATTACATACATTACTATTGCCACCCTACGTTGTAAGTTGTCACGTTTCTTTGACGCTTCGGCCCCTCCATTAAAAGAGTGACGTAATATGTGTACGGCCCCTTATTACGAAATGTACAACAAAGGGCAGCTACCCTGGAAAAGTACCGTACGCTACAATACCGCCACATCGTTTCTATCGACAGATTTATTTCCCCACGTGGCCACCGAACAAACAGCCGAGCAACGGCCGATGAAACGCACGATTCGTTCGCCATCAGGCGACACATTATCAAGATTTTCCGACCACCCACAAAACGTGTCAAAGGGGCGTTGCGACAAACTTTCCAGCAAAATCTATCGTTTGTTTAAAACGCGAAAGACAGATTACAGAGGAGAATAATTGCAAAAAAAAAAACGTTACCTGCGATTGTCAAATTTTTCATCGCGCTTTAATTTTCTATTTTCAGACCCCTGTAACGATACAACAAATTGCTGCGTTATTCTTTTTAATATATTTTTTATTACAAAATAGTCGATAACCACGCTCGTGTACATACATACGTCTCTTTTTACACGGTAGATGCGTACCAAATAAGCGTGGAAAAAAATGGTCCGTGTAATAGAGGGCGTATATATTTTAGTAAGCGAAACGTGGTTAAAAAACCGTGTAAATGTAAATGAAACACGTTGGAAAAAAATCGTGTAAAAAGAGACCCGAGTGAATAATTTGTTTTATCCAGTTCCTACCTGTGGAATGGTGTAAATCGCATCGACGGTAAAAACACCTTGGCTTAGACAGCGGGAGCGATACGCCTGAAACATTTATTGCAACGCGTGAAAAAACTGTTCGAACGTACATTTACATTGCCCCTTCTCCATCGAACGTCTCAATTACGATATATCGGCATAGATAGAACACGGAGGCGATAGTTCACAAGTTCGTATTCGTGGGGCTTAAAAGAAGTTGCAATAATTGTTAAAGTAATCGTCTTCCCGTCGGGAATTCCCCCTTAAATCACGTTCGACCATGCACGAATGGGACGCAGCTGCAGCTAAATCGATCGTACGCAGCAGAATCGAGCCATTTCCGGTCCACGCCGGGCGGGACGTCGTTCCGCTCCCGTCACACGTGAAATCTGCTTTATAATAAGATCACCGTTACGAAATAATTGCACGCTCGCTCGATAATGCTCGTCGCCGCGAAACATAACCCCGCCTGCACCCTCGTTTCTTGTTGCTCGGTCGCGCGGGCCTTTCATTCGCCGTGAGCTGTCCGAGGAAAAAGGCCGAAAGGAGACGGGGTGATACCGGAAACGAGGGCGGGAGGTGCCGCCGCGGCGGGTAACGAAGTCGTAACGTCGCCATCCGTTTCGATCATCCGCCGTCTACGACGCGCCATCCCAGCGGTTTCGTGTTACCCGCCACGGGAGACCGTCTGCTCTAGCCACCTCGTGAGTTTTTGTTTTGTCTGGCGAGCTGAAATGTTTAATGCACCGTCGCCGACCAATTACATCACTACACGCGCGGCTCGGGATCCACGGTATGCGATTTCAGCAGCGCCGAGCCCTTCCTACGCGAAATTCCCGCCAAACAAGTTCACGGAGCTTGTCGCCCGTTTAACCTTACAACTTCTGACTTTTTTCTTCCACCGTAGTTTTCACTCCGGATGCTCGAAAACTGGTCGGACACCGCGTATAACGAGGGTGGATATCGCATGCGTTCGTGGCTTTTCCAAGTTTTTCAAGGGTTTCCGATATAATGAGCGAGAACGTGAATAATTTAATCTATGAGGTTAGTCTGCGACAAGTGCTATACCGACTGACGATTCTCGACTGTCGCCTGCTGTGCCGACCCCCCACCTACCAGCTTTAGTGTTCGGTAATGGCGCGTTTACATAGTTTACGGCCGATCTCTATGCGTCGAATACGTCGATCGAGAAACGAGAACCGTTAAGAATCAGTGTTACAGAGTGACTCTGTCGCGTTCTTTCGCGTGATAACGAAAATTTTAACGCCACGAGCTCGCTTATCGCGGCGACGATCTTAATTACCACGAAACGCCAAGTCATCGACGACTTTGCAATTTGCTCGACTCACCTGTCCCACGTGCGCGTCCCATACTCGTATGTTAAGTCCATTAAAAACCGTGGCCACGGCCTGTTTCTTTTGAAAGGCCATTGTGCGAGCGCCTAGCGTGAGGTCTACATTAACGCGGATACTCGAAGGACACCTGTGCGGCCAGAAGAACTGGCGTCAAACGGGGAACGTGTTTTGCCCCGGTTAGTTGTCTGTCGCGGCGCTCCGTCGTCCATTGTCGAATGCCTGCACACACGCGTTCCTCTTCGACCGTGAAACGTCGAAATCGCGCGTGCAGGTGCGCCTGTATGCAGATGTCGGGACAAGCACGCGAGCGTTAATTGAAATAACAGTTAGAGCACTGAATCACTCAATTAAGCGAATTCCGAAGCGAGTCGCGCGACGCCGTGGCGTCTGCGTCGTTTCGATCTAATTACAACGGCGAGCTAAGTGGCTGAGTGGATCTCCTGCGTTCCTGCCGCGGATATGCCTCCGAATCCTGCAACGAGTCCTTTTGGTACCGATCAGACACGAAGCTACGTATTTCGACACTCTAGGCAACAATTCCCTTTGCGGTAGATACACTCATATCGCGGTTTACATCGTTTCTTACGAATTTCACCTCCGCTGTACGAAATATGTAAGTACGAAAATAAAGGAACAATTTAATTTTCTTCGACGATTATTCTGAACGTTAACCAATACTCGTACTACTCGTTCGTCGACGCAAGTTGATCTTTGTCGGATGATCGTTTTCTACGGTTCAAACGCGGTGGCGCGATCTTTTTCGTCGACGAAGCATTAAAAATTTTGTCGATTCGAAAAAAAGCAATATCCAGCAACGCGCGTAGAAATTGGTTCGTTTCACGATTGGAGCAGACGCGATCCGTTAGCTCGTCGGGTTCTTAACAAGTTTATACAAAACTCGATAGTGTTCGTGCTTCCTGTTTCATCGGAGAAGGGCTTGTTTCCTGTAGTTTGATCGCTCCCTTCATGGCCTTCTCCAACCCCATTTAAAATCGTTGTCTGAAACGAGCCCTCTGCTACGATAATTTGATTGCTACGCCATCGAGGCCAGACCCTAGCCAGAATTCGTAATCGCAGCTGCGAAAGCGTAGCCATTCCCGATCGCGTGTTCCGGGCTGCGTAGAAATATTACGATGACCAAAAAGATTCATCTCTACGAACCTCTCGATTTGCAACAATATAATGATAATAACGATACGTCTTTGTCGCGTACGGTTACACACCGATCGCCCAGGAACATGCAATAAAAGTTACAGATTTTCCACAAAATTATTTTTAATAAAAACGGTCCCATGACGAATCTTTGCTTCCGCGTTAACAGCGTACCATCGAGCAGGAGGGAAAGCAAAGACAATCGCGCAGAGTCTTACGAGTTGCACGTTCAGCGTCCGTTACGAGCGTCGTAAAGACGCGTATATGCGCTAATAATCATAATTTGCAAGGACGTCTAGCCGGGCAGGCACTAAAACGACCGGCTGCCTGTAATTTGAGTGACAACTGACGGCGTCTACGCGTTAAATACTCATCTTGTCGTCGCGACTCAATCTCGCCCCGGCCCCGCCGGAGGAAACTTTTTACGACAACGGTTGAGGTCGCGAAGGCGGCGGGTGTGCTCTCTACAAATTACGACAGAAACCGGTGGCTTTCTTCCAGACATTTTTCTCGGCCCCGACAGCGTGGAATGAATCACCCTGCTACGCTCATGGAATAGGAATTCAACATCGCGCCTCATTTCTCTTATTTACAGATGCATTTGCGTAAATTTCCACCGTCCCGTGGCCCGTTTTGGTTTTATTCGCGATCTGTCCGACTCCGCCCGGGTGTAATTCTCGGGGAATTTCCCGTCTCTTTGCGCGTCGACCAACACGGTGACGCCCGTAAAAATTATTCCTCTTTTGTATCGACTTTGGCCACGCAATTCGCAAGTTATCCGAACAAACGTACTGCGGCGCACCTCCAGCTCTCGCCAACAGAGGGAGATGCTCGACTTGTGTCTCTCACGAGTACTCGACAGACCAACTATTTCTATATTATATGTATACACTCCTCGACCGACCATCGAATGGCGTCTAAGGCAGGGACCTGCTGGACGAAACGTTCCCCTCGCTATCTCGCTTATTTTCTCCTACAACGGGGCACAGTACGATTAAAGATAGCCCGAACGGTGTAGTGTTTGGACTCGTTTTCGTCGGGGAATCCTCGCCAATCTAATAGCAATACTCTCATGAAGATATAAAGTGGATGACTCATTCCGTGCACGTGCCTTATCTCTCCCGGTGAAATCCCCTTTGCTCGTCGGACGATAGAGCCGAGGCTCGGCTTCGACCCAAGATAAAGAAGACGAATTCGTGAAATGGAAGAACAATCCCCCCTCGCCCTCAAGATCGGATAAAAAAAGGGAAGGAAAGCACACATTGTCTTTAAAAATTATTTCACCGAACAGTCAAGTTCCCGTCGCGCCGGTATCCTGGATGTCGATGCTTTCAAGGAGAAGAAGGACGCGTGAATAATAAATCCCGTGGAATCGCCTTATCGTGTCCGTAAGGGAAACGGGAAGAAGAGCCCGTTGTCCACTTCTCTCTCGTCCGGGAGTCCCAGCCAGGTACAGGAAAGAATAAAGTTAGCCGGCCCTTTGTGACGGAGCATCGCCCAGGTGCGTGTCGCGTGAAAGTTTCGAGTTTCGAGAACGCAATTTTCCCAAGGGAATCAGTCCTCGCTAATGCAAGAGTGGTTACGGAACGCGAGAGAGACGGGGAGAACTATAAAAGGGGAGACACGAGATAAAGGAGAAAGGAGAGAAAGCGAGCGAGAGAGTAGAACGCGCGAGGGTGGAACGAGGGTGGTAGTGGCGACGGAGTTTGAGGGTTGAACGAGCTGACGCTTTAAGCGATGTAAGTTACAGAAACTACGCTTCCGACCGGTCTCGGGCGCAGATTAGTCGTAATCTCGGCGCATTGCACTCTGCAGCCGTTTCCATCCCTCGATCTTCCCCCTCCCATCCTCCCTACACCCCCGACCGTTCCGACCCCACGACTACAAAGGTTTCCGAACCGTTACCTTCTCGCCGAACCAAGACGAACGAACGTGCCGGTCGCACCTAAATTCACGTACACCCGTGAATCGCCCGCCGTGCGACAGATTGTACTTACTTGCCGCCGTATCGCTGCTTTGATTATTTCCTGGAGGCTCGACGCCCGTTAGACGTCTACGCCGAACGTAGCTTGCGAGTTACAACCGCGCCCGGAGATTAAACGCTTCTCGGTTTATAGCCACGTTGGGGTCTTTAGTCTCGGTTTACGTGGCCCGATGAGATTTTGCCGCGGTAAACTCACGCTTCCCTTTTATGCAGCTGCTGCCGGAAATCGATAAGTCCAACGATCGTGCCCGGTATTCGCCGGCTCTCCACCTCCCCTCTCTCACGTTTCCCGGAAGATTTCACGTTTCGCGGAACCAGAAAGTCGGTTCTCGCGTCGTCGTGTCTAATGGATCGCGACCAGGAGGAATCTCGTAGCAAAAACCGCAAAATTCTTATCTATCGATCTGGAATTTTAAGCTAAAATAGTAGATTACTTTCGGTACATCTCTCTCGGAACACCCCAAAAGCGTGGTAAGATCGACTATGGCAACGCGCAACGTATCGAACAAACCACCAGGGATTTCACGGGCTCTGCTCCTGAACGGTCTTAGTATTCCTTCGTTTCTCTGGCTATCGCGTAGGATCTTTCTTACCGCGAGTGATTATAAATGGCGAACGAGGCGCAAGATAAGACGGAGGGTAGAAAAGTCGAGAAGACCTGCACGAAACGCGAAGACCTTGGAAAGGATCCGGTGACCTTTGACAGAATTTGGTACACGCACGCAGCAGGATGAACAATCTTAGCTGATAAAATAATCGAATCCTACCAAAAATACACGTAGGCCGATCTTGTCTCAATGTAACGTTCCGCCGGTTAGATTATTGATCGTCCTGTTCGGCAAAGAAAACATTTATCGCCAATGTCGTTACGATAAATGGACATTTTTTTTTACTAATAATCGTCGGTGTGCAAATTTTAGCAAAGAAGTTATCCTGCGAGACAAGAAATGCCGACGCGATTGGCCGAAAAAGTACGGTCACCTAAACGGTGAATTTTTTAAAAAGGTACCATACAATTATTCAGGGGGAATGTACGGTGCAGTATAAGCTGTACGTGCACCACACGAATTTTAATGTGGCCCGGTGTCACTGACCGTAGGTGCTGGCCGAGGAATGCAGAAAGAAAGGACTTCCGGTGGACACCTTCGAACGCAAACCACCGGAAGATGCGATTAAGCGTTCACCAATTCTTCTGAGACCGTCGCCGTCCATTCCCAGAACGACATCCGGGTTGGTGGGCTTTCGTTCATCTCGTCCAGAATACAATCTTGAGTTTACAGGCCGTTGGTACATATCACCAAAATGGACGATCGAACCGCCCATAGAACCTGGTGAATTTCGCGTCGCGCAGCAAACGCTCATCTTTCTGGGTTAAAAGAAATTTCTATTAGAAAGGTGAATTAACAAAGTAAAATAAAGCAATAAATACAAATGTTATGTTCAGCGATATCATGTACTCTCTGAATTTTTAATTGTAAACGCGATTGGCGACTTTCCACAGATAGGAAATAGATCAAACAAATATATGTTTGATATAAATTACTCTGTGTATGACATGTTCATTATGAAACTGACGTGTAAGTCCATTTATCTTTGTTTCCAGATATAAAAGTTTTGACGTTTTAATCGATTAAAAAATGTTGATAAGCGCTACTTGACTCATCGTATGCTTTCGATGATCGATGCTAAGTAAATTTATCGTACGTTTAAAGAACTTGGACATTGACCGAAGAGAAGTATGTTTTTGTAGCCACAAATGGACTTACGCTACTTTCATAATTATCGATTTTCAAAAGTATCGACTTCTATCAAGGTTCTTTTCAAGTAGGAGTAATTTGTTACGTTCTCTGAGTGACAATCGGGTTCCTTCGAGCAACCAGCTCGGTGTAAACAAATATTAAATATAAATTAATAACATAAAGCTTGAAAAATAAAATAAATGGGCTTCTATACCACAGTACGCGAAAGCTGAATTAAAATGAATGAACCACAACATCAAACCAACACAGTACACTATAATGCTATATATGTATATAATATATTATGCATGCTTTTATTTTTTATTATCATCACTGGTCATACAATGGCGTACAAACAGTGTGTACGGCAATATGCCCATCATGTCCTTATATTTAAAAAAGAAAAACATAAAAATTATATAGCAATTACGTAGAAATATAAAAACATTCGCGGACTTATACTTTCATTATGAAAGTTTCATTCCATTTAGCAACTGTTCAGTCGACAGGATCATAATGTCGTGTAACGTTACCTTGTTGACACTGAAACTTCTTTATACACTATATTAACATGTTTTTTAAACAATACTTGTTTTTGTTTTTTTGCATACAATGTATCGTACACTGTATCGATTGTATTTAAAAATAAATTGTCATAATCTCGTACAATTACAAACAGTATAATCGTAATAGAGTGTTTCTAAAGTACATGAGTCGTATTTTTTTAATAGCATATACATAGAAGACATACTGATAACTTTGTACATAATATTTTATCCCACCAATAAGATAAAACGTACTTTGCTCGTTTCCGCTGAATATTTACACTCCGAACCATTTCTGTTTGAGAGTAGGTGGTAACTTCTCTGTCAACGATATCGGATTCACTTCGACTGCCACTAGTTCTTCGTCGTTCAACCAGTCCAAATAAACAAGATGCTGCAAACAGCATTGGATAAAATTTAATTCCCGTATTCGAATTATACGACGCGAAGCCGGCATTACCTTGTATTTCTTAAGAACTTGAAAAGTTTGTTGGGACTGCGAACTTAGAACGGAACTGCTATCCTCCGTGATGTCACCATTTTCGCGTTTTGGAATTTTAGCTTCCTTTTCCGGTAACTCGTTCGATTTGTTGATTACATAGACTGTCGAGTCGTCGTGCATTATTATGATATTTTCGTTACGGGGATCAAAAATTATATTCGTTATCGGGAACGACCGCGCTAGCCATTGCTTCGGCAACCGGCTTTGCAAGTTATTCGAAAATTTGGTGTATTGTCTTTGCAAAATGTTGTATTCAATGATCTGAAATTAAACGCGACGATTGAGTTGCGAAAGATAACTGCCGATAAAATGCCAAGTTTTATGATTTTTAATTTTGCTCGTGACACCATATTAGGAGAGAGTTTTAGTAGTAATTTAGTGCAAGTTCTATGGGAGGTTGGAAGTGCACGACCATAAATGAATTATATGTTTTTTTTATGACTGACATAATTACTGTTAACGCATCATTTTACGATGGTATAGCGTCTGGAAGTGAACTTTTAATACATAACAATCAAAGGACACATTTGATATGTCGTGTACAAAATAAAGGTATAGTATACTTGATACTCTTACCTTATGATCAGAATACACGACGACCAAATTTAGAGTATTTTTCTGTACGGCCATAGCTGTTAATGGGCAGCTATATTTGGGCAATAACCATGCCACAGGTGTGTCGGTAGTCTCAGCTTCGTTAATGTTATATACAGCGATGATACCTTGACGATCGGCGCATATGAAATATTTACTATCAGGGGAAAAGCACATAAGTCCCACGTCTACAATAGATTCCTGATTTGTGTAAAAAGAACCAAGGAACCATAAATGTTTCTTTTTCACTTTATATAATGTTACGGTATTCTTCTTCCCGTCGTTGTTAACTGTTACAAATAACTTTCCGTTCGGACTAAACAACATTTTCTGTATTCTAGTTACAGAAATATCACTGTCATTCTTCAATAATTGTGCATCTCCCTCGACTACATCAAAATGGAAAACTCTAACATGACTATCAGTGGAATATACAATTGTCTTAGAATCTTTGTTAATAGCACAAGAAATAATGTTCTCTTCTCCTCTTGTTTTCAATTGTAACAATTTTATAGGCTCTTCTTCCAATTGATGAAACATACCAGGATGTACAGATTCCGGGGATACCTTAGTCGGAGAACCAAGCCTCCATAATTCAAGAAAATTTGTGTATCTTAATAGAATACATCTAGACTTTCTACAAACAGTAGCACACGGTGGTTGAAGCAATGGTGGATATTTTACAAGGATTTTAGGTGGATAGCTCGATTGTGCTAGATATCCATCTACACCCGCCGAATACAATTTTCCATCTGCATCCACTAAAGCTCTTACATCGTGAGCATGTAACCTCCTTTCAATTCCTTTTACCCATTGTGGTTTGCCAGTAGATTTCATAATTATTTTACAAAAACTTCTTACTACAGGATCAACCCCAGCGCAATACACAACATTTGTTTCATGAGATAAAGTAACAGCTAATACATCCGCAGTATGACTTTCATGAGACTCGATTAAAGTTCCCATGTGAGGATCCCAAAAAGATAAACATCCACGCGAATCGCCAGAAATGATAATATTATCATCTGTGACTTCTAAGCACCAAATAATAGTTTCCTTTTTTACTTCCTTTCTAGAAGTTGTCATCTTATGGATTGCATGACCCGATATAGCACTCCAAACTCTAATTGTGTCTGCAGACCCAGTATAAATCATTTCCCCAGTATTGTCCCATTTAATACACAGAATTCTACCTTTCTGTTTATCAAAGATCCTTTCGTATATCAACGCATCAGAAGTTACACTAAACGTATTGATATATCCATCTTCTGTGCCAACAGCTAAACACGTTTTCTCATGATTAACGTCCATGCACCAAGCTGCACCACCAGTAACTGCAACTTCATTTTTAATAGATAATGTTGTTAAATCATACTCTGCTATCATGCCATGAAGACCAGTCGAGAATAATCTTGACCCGATCCAGAGAATGCTTTCTATGGAATTTTCTGGATGACCAGCTATTATACACTCCACAAAAGGTGCATTTCCAACATTCCAAACTTCAATCGAATTGTCGTTTCTGTAATCAAGTTATCGCACAAGATTATTAGAATACATTTCATATTTAAACTAAAAGTGTGTATTATGAAACTAACCTCGAAAGTGCTAACTTTCTCGTTTTCGATTCGTATGATAAACATGTAACAGATCGGGGTTCAAGGTTATAAAACCTAATGTTGTGTATTTTACAAGTTGACATGATTTATTTGAATTCTTAAAATTATTTACAACGATGTTGTTAGTTTAATTATACAAACTACACTACACACTAAGAAACATAACCGCAACTGTCACGCACGTGGGCTCCGTTAACGAGTTTTTTCATGTTTTTATATTGGTAACCCGTTTTTGAGCAATGCCACTTAAAGTCTTTATGTCTTTAATACATTTCTTAATACAGATACTTGAAATTACCAATATAGCGTAAGTATATCCATAGCATCACGATACTACGAATATTATTGCAGTCTTAAAATCAGTCATTAAATGTTTCGCAATTTTAGTTCTTATTTTAACTGTTATGGTGACTCATTTGTTACAAGGCGAAACAGTCTGTTTGTAAAATTGTACCGGTATTGAATAAAAACATTTTGCATTTGTTCCTCGAACGAAGGATTTCTCAATATTTGTTTATTTAATACTGTCATATTAGCAGGATGTATTTCATAGAAAACATAATACTTTTGTCTAATTACGCAATAACCTAACATGTGTTTGACGGTCATTGATAAAAACATAATTGTATGTGACTGTGAGTCACATCACAGTAAGTTAAATGACAGTAAACAGATAACCCACTCGAACGGTCCTGTGATTAAATATCAGCGAATGCAGTTCAGAAACGAACGAGAAGAAAATAATAATGCATACTCTTATTTATAGCACTATTGTTTCGTTGTCTAAATGAAATCGTTGTTGAAATTGATTACATAACTAAAATTACAACAACAACAAAATAAAATGGCAATAATTAGAAATTTATACTCAAATCATGAAGTAAATCGTATGTAGAAATAAATTACATTATGCGTAGAAATCGTTTCATCGTATAAAATATGATTAAACAATTAATGATACAAACAAATATTTGTATTTTGTTAAGTACAAAAGAAAAGCAAAAAGAACTTTCAACAACAAATTCAACGTGTTTCCATCAAATGAACCGAGGCGTGTCAGATGACGTGATCGTACAGATGATCATGAGTGCATTGTAGCCGTAGAACATCGTTTTGTGGATAATAAGAATATTATGATCAGCTTTATTTGTACAGTTATCTGTGCGTTCGGGGGAAATATATATTGTGTTTAACAGTAAACAGCAGATTAAAGAACGTGTACTACGCAAGCGTACATCGTGTTCAACTAACACTTTCCAATATTCAACCTACTTCATATCAGTTACTCGCTCGTCGAGTTTCAGTCGAAGGCTGGTGAGTGGGGAGTGTGACTTCGCAGTAGTGCTAATACGACGGGAGAATTAATTACACATTGAGTAGGTCGCATACATGGAAGTTAGCGATCTAATTTAGTCAAAGCAATTATCATTTCAAGCAGATTCGAAGTGTCTCATCGTTCAAGGATTTCGAACGCCCTCAAAGAGGTAAATAAGTCGTAACTTACATTCGGCGCACGAATGTGGTTATCGATTGTAACCGTTTCCAGAAAGTGCGCATGACGCATCAAGCTGACTCTGTACAAACAGGGATGCGTTTCTCCTAATATTGTACACGTTTGTAAAAGTTTTATAACACCGTTGTGCAAATGTATTTTGAAATTCATACAAGCTTTCGGAAAATGTCCGCTTGAAGGTTTCGTCCCGCCAATAGTCGTTACTGAAAAACGTTAAAGCATCGTCTCGTACCTATTTCGCAATATTGTGACTTACTTGTTTTACTACCAAAACCCATTATCATCCGTTGTATTTAAATTTCTGTCCAAGTACAAAAAATTACACTTTCTTACACTTCCAAAGGGATAGGAAAAACTGCATAATTTACGTAACGTTTTCGCAGCTTTCATTGTATTTATTTTTTTTTATGTTTTTGTTCGTATTGCCGGTCGAAAATATACGTAGTCTGCGTACATACGTGTGTTTCTAACGAGAATATACATTTTTCGAACAGCAACATCGATACGAGTGACATCAATGTGAAATAGAAATCGTACGTAAAACGTACACGTAGTGATAATTATTATTGGGTGTTTTTAATGTTATTTTCAGCTGAAGTTAATTCTCTGAAAAATGACAAATGTCAATTATGCTCATATTTACGATATTTAAATATACACATATCAATATATATTTAAATCTTTAAGTTATAAAAAAAGATTTATTTTGTTAGACTTGTGTTGTTAATAAAAATTAACTACACGCGACATTGTGTGATTTGAAGAATATCTGTAAGTATGAGCTATTCACACCATTTAATGCATGAAATTAACAGTTTCAGATATAATACATTCTAACTTATATAGTGTGCGTCAATGTAATGTTTTTGATATAAGATAGTAATAATATCTTGACATTTTTAATAAACATTTGTTGCATATGTCTATTCAGTTTTAAAAGGTTTGATAACAAATTTTTAGAAATTAATTTGATAATCAGTAAATATATAATACTGTTACTTTAGCATTACTTACGCATTTTATATAATTTAGAAGATGCAATGATTTTATTGCTATTGTTTGTTATTTACTTTTAAAAGTAAAGAAACATATTTGTTTATTTTTTAAGAAATTATTTTATGTAATTCTTCATACTTTGTTATTAAAGGGTTGCTGTAATATAAATAAAGTGTGAACTATGTGAAATATACTCATCTTAGAACCTCAATATTTAAAATATGAATAGTTTGAAAATTAATGTTTCTAGAGCAAATAAAAAGATTTTTATCATAAAAATAAATGTTTTGTTATTGGCTGAATTAGTTTTTCAGTTATTAATTACATATGTATCTATAAAGGGTTGTATAAAATAAGATTGTCAAGATAGCTTTGTTTCTTTTTTTTACTACTTATGCTCATGTACTCATTGTATAGTCAATTATATAAAAATAAACATTATGATATAACACTTTCAAGGTTGCTGGTACATTCGTGCGCTGGTGTTCCATTGATGTTTTTGCGACTATGTCTCATGATAATAATAGATTCTTTTTCAGTTAAAACAAAATCCAAAAGATGACAACTTGGCAAAGTACACCTGGTGCAGGATTTTATCCAGGACAACAAGGTTCTGATCTTTTCCTATGTTTTAAATATTCTCTACTGTTGTACATTATTTATGTCTTTAATATGCAACAGAATATTTAGCAAACTGTAAACACCATGATGCTTGTTTCAAGTGGCAATCATCGTTCTAAATCATCTACAAGTGTGTCTGTATTAGTTACTGAAACATGATAGTAGTTACACATTTGTAGAAAGGAGTCAATGCAGTGTCAGTGTAATTTAATCATTATGAAGTAATTGGTCCATGAATTAAATATGAAATTAAAAAAAAAACATCATTAACACTATATAAAATGTTTATGCACAAACATTTAGTGGCTGTTATTAGAGCACAGAATTTTATGAACATCGATGCTTAAATTTGAGTGCAGACTCTATTTCAGCATGATGTTTTATGTGCCTGAAATTCGATTGTGCAGGTTTTCCTCAACAAAATCCTGGGTATCCACCTCAATCCGGATATAATCCAGAATATATATCTCCTTTCGGAGCACCACCACCAGGTTGGTATATTATATTGTTGTTCTTTTAATTCTACTAACATAGTTTGTATATAAAGTACACTTACAATGTTTTGTTTTTTTTATAGGCTTTATTCCTCCTCCAGGCGCTCCTCCTCCAGGTGGCCCTCCTTACGGACCAGCAGCTCCATTTGGTGCAGAAGTTCAAGGCATGTATGGGTCAAATTATGCAGAAGATCCTATGCAAGATGAAATCAAAGGATTTGATTTCAACGAAAAATCGATTAGAAATGGATTTATCAGGTATGTATTATGGTGACTAATATTCTATTAGATTTGTTCAATTACAAATTTGTATTTTTCTTTTTAGGAAAGTTTATAGTATACTGATGTGTCAACTTCTAATAACGGTGTCACTAATAGCACTATTCCTTTATCATCGCCCAACTCAACTATGGGTGATGCATCACCCAGAATTGTTTTGGATTGCTTTTGTAGCTACTATAGTCCTGATAATATGTATAGCTTGCTGTACCAGCGTAAGAAGGAAAGCTCCCATGAATTTTATATTTTTGTTCCTATTTACGATAGCAGAAGGTTTTCTATTAGCTACTGCTGCTTCTACGTTCAAGTCTGAAGAGGTAATTATTAAAATTCTGAATGTTAAATAACTTTTTCTATTGTACCGAAAATACAATAGGGTAAAAAATTATAACATTGTGTATGCACAATCATGCGTTATGCTCATAATTAACACGTTCACGTCGGCGCGTACCGCCGGTAGTTCACACTTAAATGTCACATTAAACAGTGGCATATTGTTAAAAATTAGAATATGGGAAATTTAACGCAGTCGTCTGATAGCAATAAACTCAAATTGCGGCGCCCGGCGTGAACGTGTTAAATAGGAAATAACTAATTTCTGTAAAATTTTTACAGGTACTATTGGCCGTTGGAATTACAGCAGCTGTATGCCTCTCGCTAACATTGTTTGCATTTCAAACAAAAATCGATTTCACTGGTCTGAACAGTGTTTTGTTTGTTGCATTGGTTATTTTTGTACTGTTTGGAATAATTGCATCATTCTGGCATGGGAAAATTATAACTATAGTTTACTCATCCATTGGAGCTTTACTCTTCTCTATATATTTAATCTATGATACACAAATGATAATGGGCGGTAACAAAAAATATTCGATTTCTCCAGAAGAGTATATCTTTGCAGCTTTGACTCTTTATATAGATATTGTCCAAATCTTCATTGACATACTAATGTTGATTGGTGTCTCACGAAACTAAATATTGTAATATAAATGTTTTTGACAGTCGCTGGATTAATATATTTTGTAAAATGCTTTTATTTATCCTAATTCTGTTTTTACTCTTTTGCCTTGGCGCACAGAGTATCTTACAGATACGTAATTCATAATACGATTTGGAGAATATTGGCAAGCATATTGAGCATTAATCTCTGTGAAATATAGTCTTTTCACGTTTTTCAAAGTATAATCAACATAGAAAGTACAGAGAAATTGTTTTAAAATTCGATTTACAATCTTGCGAATCAAATAAAATAATTCCAATGCTAAGAGAAGTAAGCTAATCGTTATTATAGTTAAGAATATAAATAGGTATATGAGAAATGTAAATGCATAATTGATGTATCTGTTTATGTTCATTTCAAAGTATTCATTAAATTATATTCATTAAATGTGTTTGAGAAAGTATTTCATTTGATAAAAAAAACCTACTTGCTTTTTATACTTCACCATAACACAACAAAATTCTATATATGTTGAAAACGATTAACGTAATCGTTAATATATGTTTTAATAATGTTAATAATCGTATTAAAGTAAAAGTTGAGTATATGCCCGGACAGATCTACAGCATAAATGCCTTGGTATTCATCCCCACCACTGAGGGAAGATACCCCTTGACTCGCCACAAAACTCGGCAGCCGAGGACAGTCCTTTTTTACTCGCTGTCCTTTTCTACATTCGACAGTCGACTTGGGCTGTTTCGATAATTAGAATCGATCCATTTACTCCGTAAGTGCCCGGCTGGGTCTCAATTTTCGGGCATATACCATCCAACTTTTACTGTACATCTAGAATTGTAATGTTTAAAAATTGTTACATTTCCAGATTATCCTAAATGTGCATAATACATGCATATCTTGTTGTCTGCTTAGAAGACATGTTATTGATCATATTTAAGTAATAAAAGGAAATACTAAAGTATTGAACGATATTTTTGTTTTTTGGTACAAATATTTAAGGCTATACTAGAATTTCTAGATTGCAGTATTTCACAGTACAATTTAGCTTTATGTGTGTTAATGCACTGTAAGAATGAAAATACCTGAATCTGTACATTATGACGACACTAATATTAAATCGAATATCGTAAATGACAATATTATATACACGGCACTTTTTATCTTATATTTATTCATTATACTTTGTAATTTATCGTAAAGGAAAATAAATGGCAGTCATTTCGAAATCGTGAATTGTTTATATTTGTAGTAAATTAGTCTTACACAAATAGGATAAGAGCTCCCAATCTTAAGCTTTCAGATTTCAACTTAAAGTGTAAATAAGCATATATAGTGCAATGTCCGTATGAAAAAGCATTCAATGTTCACATAGATTTTAAAAATTATAAGCCCACATTCATTCTCACGCTTCCTCATGGTAACAAATTTCAGCCTCGTTACAAATAAATTGTTCCTAGTTGACTTTGTTCGTGCAACAATGCATGGAGTTTCATATGGAAAACAATGCTCCATCAGCAGTACTTATTATCGATTCCTTATATTATTTATAAAAACTCTGATGGAGCTATAATGTTTTTGTATACATGCAATAGACACATTTATAAATACAATGATATATGTGAAAAACAGCATTAAGAACCATCTTTTATCATAACTGTCATCAAATGAGTTCAATTGAATTTGATTAGGCAGTGTTGTGAAGAGTTTAATTATATTATTATGCTTTAAATTATGCTCTAAATCTATCCACAAATCTATTTTGAGTGGCACGAGCTGATATATAGTTTATTATGCGCCATTAAAATAAATAATATAAAATTAGCAGCACCGATTGGAACTTCTTTCCACCCTTCGATCAACTGTTACTCTATCAGGAGCATCTTGAGGTTCTTTTCCATGAGTTTTTTCTAATATTGCTTCAGCTAATTCACTAAACGCACGTTCAATGTTGAAGTTAGCTTTTGCAGACGTTTCCATAAATCTGATTCCATGCTCTCTTGCTATCTGAAAGGGATATTGGCTTGTTAAATCTGCAACATTTGCAAATTTAATAAAATTACAGGTTTAGTCGATTTACCGCTTCTCCTCTTTCTCTGCTAACAACACGTTTATCTTCCATATCACGTTTGTTTCCTAATATCATCTTCTCTACATCTTCATTTGCATGCTAAAATAATTAAAAGCAGAATAGGATAAATAGCTGTTTACTTTTTCTATTTATGTCTAACGAAGAAATTTATAATAACACTTACTTCATCAATATTTCTTAACCATTTCACGATATTCTCAAATGTCTTCTCGTTAGTAATGTCATAAACAAGCATAATACCCATTGCACCTCTGTAGTATGATGTAGTAATGGTATGAAATCTTTCTTGGCCAGCTGTATCCCTGTAAGTGCATAGATTAAGGGTTGTTTAGAAAAATTTTAAATTCAACATCTTACCATATCTGTAACTTGATTTTCTTTCCTCTTAATTCCACTGTCTTGATTTTAAAATCGATACCTAAGTGACAAAAAAACGCAACGTTTATTTATGTAACAGACACTTCACAATACATTGACGTCTATTTACATAAACATTAAACTATTCCAACAATATTGTCAAGTGATCTGTTTAGAGAAATAACTTTACATAATTATGCGTTTAATCTGTATTTAAGACAAAAGAAAGAAAAAAAGTGATACTTCGATATTGAACTATTTCTTATTCTTCAAATAGAACTTCAAATAGAAGTATTTTCATTATACGATGTTACAATTTCTTGGCAGCATAACCTACTATGCCAAACGGAATTTGCAGTGTTGGACGATCCAGTTCGTCAAATGCAACACGTTATAAACAGTTGTTATCCGTAATGCTTCTCTTACCTATGGTAGAAATAAACGTCGTAGAGAAGGCATCGTCCGAAAATCTAAACAGTATACAAGTTTTGCCGACTCCGGAGTCACCGATGAGCAGCAACTTGAACAACAGATCGTACGTCTTTTTCGCCATTTCACTGTTGCTCCGCGTTAACGAGGCGCCGAAAGAAACAAAAAGAATCGAACCTGTGGAACACGATTAACAGTTTTCCAGACGATGTTTCGAACATCGAACGCTATGAACGATTATAAGTTTCAAGGTCGGACGAGGGCGCGTCTCGACGTACAACGGTGCCTCGTTAACGACGGAAAAACCGGTCACAGGGGATGACTATTAAAAGACAATACGACGTCACACAACAGAGCAGCACGCAGAAGCATCGGGGTAACTTTGTACTTTGCGTTCTGGCGAGACCGGACGAGTCCGATATCCGCTAAGCAACAATTCCTACGACTGTTTGTTGTAATTAGCGGCAATCGTAAAAGTATGCCGGGTTCAACTGGAAATATTCCATCTACCACGGGAGGTCACCACCACTGCAAGAATAATTTTAAATTATCCGAATGCTATACACGATATACGTATGCACAAATGTACACAAAGTTATTGCTTATTTTATCGCTTTTACGCCATTGATTTCTATACATAACTGGACTCTGTTTGCTCTATATCGATACATATTTTAAATGATACATCGATGTTCTACGACGCAATACGTCTTTTTTTTGCGTGCTAGATGAATGCATCAATGGTGCGCTAGATGTTTAATAACATAACGACTCCGCTTTACAAATACTTTTAAAACAATTATGCATTAAAATGCTTGTGAGATATTATTAACACAGTTAGTTATTAAGATGGATACCTTTGGTACATTTGTTTACTACGTACAAATACGTCGCGAAGATGCTTCGGTGGATACTATTTGGTCACTGTGTGTCATAGATTTTCGACGAATCTACGAGCGAGTAATGATTTCAAGAAGCCATGAATCATATACAGGGTGTCTCACGTATAGTGTCGTAAAATGGTCTTTTATTTATTATGATAGGTGCCAAAACTTTTTATATTCGAAGTCATATGGGCAAGTTTTATAGGATAAATTTGGCGCCATTATTAAGATACCTATTTTAGCGGTAATGGCATCTTGTGTTTTCAGATGGAATAGATACAAGTTTACCAAAGATTATTTTATTTCATTTTATTTTAAACTGTTTATTTATTTTATGTGAGTGAAAAGGATAGAACGGGAATAAAAAAACAAAGTTCATTTATTAGCAGTAAAGCCAAAATGAAATTACTACATTTATTTTGTATAGTTTCAGAAATAGGGAGAATAGTATCCTTTGGTAGAATCTTTTTTAGTAGAACATAATTTTTGGTTGACGAAAGATACCAAATATGTCACGTGAAGAGCCCTGATGAACTCTAAAATATAAAGAAAGAATGTTGTTACTGTTCATAAGAGTCGAATTACATAAAATATTATTCGAAATTGTAAATCACTTGTCTGTTTTAATAAACCTTCATGTTCTTGGTGAACTTAACATCTTTGCGAACCATAAAATGTTATAAATAGTAATAAAAGTTACATCAGAGACGAGGTAATAGGATAGACCTATCATCTTATGAAAATGTCGGTGGTTTTACAGCGCATTCTACGTAAGAGACGGTGATTCTGTGAACCATACTCAACCCTACCACTTAAGTCGATCAGTAAACGTAGAAAACTCATCTGTATGCCTTATCAGCGGTTCATTATAAGTAGCTTAATATCAAACGGCGGAGAAAAAATAAGAATGCACCACATGTTTCATTCAATTTAGCGTACATATATTACACGAAACATTTTAAGAAAAACATTATAATTTTAACATAAACGTTCATTTTATCTTATCTATGTAAAGTTTTGTATTTTCTTAATTTGAAACGATAAGATCTGTGAAGACGTGCGCACGAACTTAAGCATCTCTCTCTCTCTCTTTCACTATATATATATTGCCATTAGTTTGTCTTTAAAACTGCAAGAGCGCTGCAATTTGTCTTCTATTTTCAACACAGTAGCTTACATCCCTGGTCAAGGGGTGACAGTGGAGTATCTCAAGGGATTTTAGTGACATGCAGTTGTGTTTTTGGAGTATCGTAGCTGTTTGTAGTTCAATGAGTTCAATCAGTTCATTCAATGCACGAGTTTGTGCGTACGTCTAAGCTCCTCTGTAACGTAAAAATTGTACTCTCGTTGGTTCACGTTAAAGTTTGCCTCACGTGACCAGTAACATGGCAGCTAAAGTGAATCATTTCGATCCACCGAGTTCAGCGAGTTCCGAGAGGTGAGCAGCATCTCGTTGTCGATTTCACCCGTGAGAACAAATTCTGGGATTTTTATAATTTAGCGGTGATGAGGAAGTTTATTGGAATGAACCGGGGATGTTCTTCGTTGACGAGATATACGGGGATGCCGAACATTCCAGACGTTCTGACATCGGGACACCCACGCCGCAATCACCCCGACCAGCATCAACGGGTAAGATAATCGGATTATTATTTATCTTCATCAATTATCAGAATACCTGATTTTATAATGTTAACTTTTTTTACTATTCGTATGGTATCTCGTTCTTATCAGCATTGGTCTTATCTGTCACGTGTTTTTATAGTTACTCAGGTAGTATGCTAATTATTTACAGAATCAGTGATTTGGAGTACTTGTATTTGGCAGACACAATTCACTAGGCTCACCGAAATAAAAAGCTCGTGTAATTTAAAGAAGACAACTAAGAATTTCAAAAGTACCATTCCTCATTATCTCTGTCCTTAAAATTCCTATTCCTCCCATGTACCTAAAAGTTTTGTAAAATTTTGTCCTCTTATTTTCCCCTGATGTATTATTTAACATATTTTTCCTTTGTAATGTAGTTTTATGATATAGAGTACAAAGGAAAATCCATAATCATGTAACAGGGTCTCAGAGATCACCAAGGTCACGAAGGCAACGTACTACCAGTTTGTCACAGTCTAATAAAAAGACTGCTGCAGAGTCCATCCTTAGAAGTAAGACAAGAACAATATATACAGCTGGTAGGCCACCATGGTATAATTCAGCAGGGCAGCAAGTAGAATCTTTCATAATTGGTTGGTAATATTTATGCAAGATATGTTTATTGAAATTATTTTTAAACAATAAAAGGTTATGTATTTGCTGTTATTAATAGCTTTCTTCTAGGTATTTGTGGGGGTAGTGCATCTGGCAAGACTACAGTTGCAACAAAGATTATAGAATCCTTGGATGTACCATGGGTAACGCTTCTCAGCATGGATTCGTTTTACAAAGTACGGAAAGCTGTCAGTTCTAATTATATAAATTGTATCGATTGGTATTAAAAATGGATGAATGGTAGTATAAATAATTTCCGATGCAGGTGCTGAATGAAAAGCAGCATGATATGGCAGCAAATAATGAATACAACTTTGATCATCCCGATGCTTTTGATTTTGAGCTTCTTAAAACTACTTTACAACGTTTGAAAGAAGGCAGAATGGTGGAAGTTCCTATTTACAATTTTGTAACGCATAGCAGAGAAAGTAGAACTGTAAGTTGATATAAACAAAAGTTATAATAAGCGCTATATGTGTTAGTTGTATATTATACTTTTTCTCCTTCCAAAGAAAACAATGTATGGTGCCAATGTCATTATATTCGAGGGAATATTTACTTTCTACAATGTTGACGTTTTAAAGGTATGTTGGTATAGTATCAGCAAAGTAGGATCAGTGGATTGAGAATGGGGCAAGGTATGAAAGGAAAAAACAAATTAGGACTGATTTATTTTCTTTGATTGACCAAGATGTGCGATATGAAGATATTTGTCGACACTGACGCCGATGTGAGGCTCGCGCGGCGATTACGTAGAGACATATCCCAAAGGGGAAGAGATTTAGAAGGAGTTTTAAAGCAGTATAGCACTATGGTGCAACCTGCTTTTTATTATTATATAGCACCATTAATGATTCACGCGGATATTATCGTGCCCCGTGGGGGAGAAAATGAGGTTGCGATAGAGCTTATTGTACAGCATGTACATACTCAACTTCAATTGGTAAGGTCGCGACTGTTCCGTAAATATCGTATATTGTACGTGTCGCGTTTACTTATTATCGTTTCTCGTTTTAGAGAGGTTTTAAGCTCAGAGAAAAGTTAGCTCATTCATATATTGGTCAGCCATTGCCATCTTCTCTATTCCTACTTCCAGACACACCACAAATTAAAGGTTTACACACATTTATAAGAAACAAGGAAACATATAGAGATGAATTTATATTTTATTCCAAACGTTTAATACGTTTAGTTATCGAGTATGCGTTATCCCTTTTGCCTTTTGAGGTAATTACTACCAAACTCATTGTATTGATAAAATACAATTGGTATTAAAGAGTTATCTTCATATTTAAAGGATGTAACAGTAGAAACACCTCAAGGGGTATTGTATCAGGGAAAGCGTGGCGCTACTGATAAAATATGTGGTGTTTCAATTTTGCGTGCTGGTGAAACCATGGAACAAGCTGTTAGGGATGTATGTAAGGATATAAGAATAGGAAAAATTCTTATACAAACGAACCAGCATACTGGAGAACCAGAGGTAAGTATTCCTTTACAGACTGCTCTTTTTTTCTCAGAAATCCAATACGAATTATTGTTATTTATTACAGCTTTATTACCTTCGATTACCAAGGGACATTAGAGATTATAAAGTGATACTGATGGACGCGACGGTAGCAACAGGTGCTGCCGCCATTATGGCTATCCGAGTTTTATTGGATCACGATGTCGCCGAAGAAAACGTACTACTTGTGTCTTTACTAATGGCGGAGTCTGGTGTACATTCTATCGCTTACGCATTTCCACGCGTCAAAATTGTAACGTCTGCCTTAGATCCTGTGATAAATGAGAAGTTCTACGTGTTACCCGGTATTGGTAACTTCGGGGATCGATACTTCGGAACCGAGCCATCTTCGAGTGACAACTAACGCAGCTTAAGATCTTAGTTCTGAATTTACATAATTGTTTAATCTATTATTCTAATGCAAATACAGTTGTCTTGAATATCTTTAATAAAATTTGTGTTACACTTGGGAACATGCGATATATTTATATCGTTCAATTAACTACACCTATGCATACATGTACAACCAGTTTGATAATTCGATTTTTTCGAAAATAGTCACGCATTTGTTAACGTAATTTAATTAACTAGGTTTTAAAGGGGCGTTGTGTCAACATTAGTACCGACTTGGCCCCTTTCAGCAGCAGTACCCGTGCTGGGTAATTGTCTATAACCTCGTGCACTTGCTCGAAGGGAACGACGCCAAGAATCTAAGTTTCCGGCACCGGTGCCATTCGGTTGTCCCAAAAGATGCGTGATCAATCTATCGAGAGCCGCCAAATCTTCGTTCGTGTTGCCAGAATTTCCTAAACCTTCCGGTGGACGGAAACTGTTCGGTGCATTTTCGTTCACGAGTACAGTATTTGTCAGATTCCCTGCACCGTTGGTGGCGTGGATACCCAGTTTCGATGTAAACTGTGCGACATTTGTGTTAAACGATCGTTATAGGTTAAGCTTTCGACTTGTGCACAATATGTTTTAAATCACGGTCTGACCCAATAGATTTGCATAAAATAATTTTTATAATGCTGATTTTTCATTCAGTTTATGGTTTTTAACAAGATAAAGAACGTGAATAAGAGATCAGTATACTGCCCCTTCGCTTAGGCACACTAATGCACAGCTGCTTGGAGGGGCAGTGGACGATTCGATTCCGATTCGATTTATTGATAGAATCGATTCTCGTGATCCGATTCAAAATTGCTTCTTTAAGGAGAGCTTTCGCGAGACGTAAAATTATGACCGATTTTAGAAGATGCAAAGTATTTGAAATACCTGATCAGCCGGTGGTTGGCCGTAACTGAGTCTTTGCACTTTGCGGAAGGTGTCGTCATCAATGGCTTCGCGTACCGCTTCGTTTAAGGTTTGCTCCAATACTCGTTGTTTCGTTTTGCTCAATCCATCGTAATAACTGATCGGTAGAATTTTTGGTTATGTACATCGGAGTATTAAATGTGTATATTACACGAGCGGAAACGAGGGAAATGTTACGTTAAACGAATATACACGTGCCCCTATTGACTAATAATGCATCCAATACAAAAGAAAGCGTACCAAACGAAAATATAGTATTGCATTCCTAGACATGAAAAATTGAAACGATTACGCAGAATGGTAAATTTAATTTTCCGTTGTTACTTTTCAATCATGAATCTTTTTTCGATTAAGGATCGGTCGGTACGTTCGCGTAGCATTTCTTTTCGTCTCGTTTCAGCTCGTAGAATTTTCGCGGCGCGATCCGGTATCTCGCGCACACGGTTAGAACGCGAAACATTTCGGTTACCTCGAGTCCAGGGAGCTGTTATCGTGCGAAATATTCTTATCGCGAACGAGGCGGATGTCGTGCTCCCAGAAACGACGTAATTCCGGCGTGGACGTGTACGGCGCGGCCACTTCCTTAATCTGGAAAGAAATCGTACCGATTGGTAATCACGTAAAAGAAACGTTGCGCGTTATTCAGTTTAGAATGGAACGGAACGGCGAGGCCGGGCCATTACCGAGATTGAACATTCTCAGTCTGGCATTATAGCCGGTCGGCCATTATCGTGAAAATTACACAGCACGATTTTTCGCGAAACTCCCGCTAACCCGAATCGCGATTTTAGTTTCCATACCTTTAGAACTATTATCGCCGTGATAAAGATACACATCACGTTGATGAAGGTCAAGCACGCGCTGATTATACCGTTGCAGAAGAACTCCACTGGCAGATAATCGGTGTACACGTACACGTACGAGGTGTTGTAGTTTGTGTAGGACTCGCCCTTCATGTGCGGCATTTTTATCGGCCGATAGATCAACCATATACACCCGAGCGCCCAAAATAAACCCTGTAGAATTTTTTAAATTCTCGTCAAGTCTGCATACAGGGTGTTCGGCCATCCCTGGGCAATTCTGGAGGTAAAAATAAGACGAAAATCAAGAATGCCAATTTGTTGATCGAGGCTTCGTTAAAAACGTTATTAACTATATATACTCACTCACAAAACTGTAAGACTGTCGATGAGTCGGTAAGTAGAGTTTCTCATGCTGAATGGGAACCACTATCACGCGCACGCAGCTAATAACGTTTTTAACGAAGCCTCAACAAATTGGCATTCTTTTGTTTTTCGTCTTATTTCGACCTCCAGAATCTCCCGATTAAAATTTTTCCCAGGGGTGGCCGAACACCCTGTACGTACGAAACAGCGTGCCTTCTTGTCTCCGTAATCAATTCGTTACTTGTCGCTTACGCAATTTACCACCGGCGGTAATAAAGAGGCCGATATAGCGACTCCGATCAGGGGTCCGCTGCTCCCCTGCAATAAAGCCACGGCGACGCCAGTGCCAGATGGCAGGGCCCATAACACACCCATCCAAAGGGATCTGTAATTGCCTCTGCAGAGAGCGTAATTTACTTTCTACAATTTGTTCGAGCGCAAACAAGCGGTGCAATCGTTACTCTAGTAATCGTGGACGTTTGAAAATCGTTAAGCGCCCCGAGTAAATTGTAGCGGTACGAAGCAAAAAGATTTGTTTTCGACATACCTGCCTTTCATTTCGTCGGTCGGCCAGTCGTTGTAACCCCAAGGCATCTCCGTTGTGCCCAGAATTAGGCCGAATACGAATCCGAACAGGATCGAGACGAATATGCCGAGCAACAGGCTCTTTAGACCGACGAACTGAAGGTTTCTGTCAGCTATGATAGTGCCGAAGGTTAACGACATTACGGGACCCTTAGGATCGTATCAAAGAAATGAGCATATTTTTTCAAACGACTTTAACAACAACCGAATCAAACGACGCCGGATCTTACCATCAAAGGGGACACCAACATGGCCGCCACTACGTTCGTCGCGCTGTTCTCTATCAGGCCCAACGCGGCCAGGCAGCTACGGAGAAATCGCGACGATATTTTAATATCATATTTCGGAATATCGCTGAACAAAATTGCAATAATTTTTCTCCGTGTTTCAGGCTCGTCGGGCGTCGAGCGAACGAATAAAAGAAAACAGCGATTCTTACTCCGCCGTCAGCACGAGCAACACGTAATCGAAGGTGAGATCGCCCCCGCTTCTGACACCGTCCACGACCTGCTTCACCGTCAGTTTCGAGCGTATCGATTCCACGAAGGCCCTCCAGGCGTTCTTTCTCTCCTCCGATTCCTTTCGCCTGGAAACACCGATCGCGAATGTTATAGGATCCCATCCGGCTCTTTGCATTGAATAATTCTACTGTTTTTCTTTCGGACGTAGAGACCTTCGTGCCAAGTCGTCCTTAATGGAGGCGTAACCGACGCTGCGCAAGCCGCTGTACGTGCACTGGGTCGGAATCACGCTGGGAAATGTTTAAAAGCGAATGAGGACGTTTCGTAAACGTCTCGCGCGGGAGTTCGTTCGAGGCAACGTCGACGATAAGTCACCTTACTATGGAGTTCATTTTCATGCCGATCCCCATTTCCGTCAGACAGTGCAAGCAATTCTCGCACGGCTCGCCTGCAGGTACCGGAAATATCACCTTCGCGAGATGGAAATCAAACATTAACGTGGAGCAGGAACAACGAGGGTCCACTGGTCTCTTACCTCGTAGTACATGTCAGCTTTGTCCTTGCACCAGACCACGTGCTCCACTCGGAGCTTCTTCAACAACTCGTCCAACACCTTTGGAAACAAGAAAACAGGGAAACGAAATACAAGTTGCGACGGAAACGATCTTTTCGTACGAGGCTTTCGGAGGCTACGCGTCTGACCATCCGTGCTATTTCTACTTGCATCGGTGGTTGTGCTATCTTAAGTAGAAATACCGAGTTATGGCCAGACGCGTACACTAAGCCGTACTTATCAGGGACTACTCGACAAACTACTCTTCAATTATTATTAAATCAAGAAACGTTTTCAGAGCACATACTAATTTCTACTTATTTTCTTTCAGGTTCGATTAAATCCGGGAGTACGCTACCGTTTCCATCGACACAAAAACCGGATCTCTGCCGCGTTGGCCGGAAACGCCGAGTCTCCGAGGACGAGAATAGCTCCTGTCGTCGAGATTGTCGCTGACGTCGTCCAGATCCTCCGGATCGTCGTCGTCGAGCGTCAACAGCTGCGTTCTCGTTCTCGCTTCCCTGATACGCAGATCCAGTCTCGGCGCAGGCACCGGTTTCCCCGTCGTCTCGTGCCTGGGCCGTTTCATCGGCACGCCGAAGATGAGCTGGTGCTCGTAGTTCGACGTGGGAATGCAAACCAGAAACACGACACCGCCCGGCATTGTCGCTCGTTCGATCAAAGTCGCCTCGAGATTCTGCCCGATCAGCCTCGAGAGCAGATCGTCCAAGCACCGATTTCGTTAGCGGACCGCTAATCGTTTTGTTACTTCGCTCTCAATTAGCGCGACGTCGACGGCGAACCAGTCGAAGATCACGTGCAATCGTTACACGGTTCGTAATTATATTATTTTTATCGACTTCCGTTTGTTTGTATTTTTTTTCAAGTTAAATATTTATCCATACCTCAGATCGTAAGTAAAATAACAAAAAGGATATTCCAAGCGTAAAAGATTCCGTCCAGATTCTTAAGGATAAAGGTAGTCACAAGTCAGTGTTTTTTTTTTTTTTTTTTTTTTTTTATTAAATAAACATTTATTTTAACAAATCAACAGCATAAAGACTAGCGTCTAGAGACTAGTCCGATGTTTAGTCTGACCTAGGTAACTAGAGGCCACCAGGAATATTCCGCGCCGTGGGAAATTTCGAGCGTCGCGATTTTTACGAGAATCGAATCGTTCTTCCGTTAGCAGCGTGTGTTCCAAGCGAAGTGTGCGCGCCAAAATATATCCTAAAGGAAACTCTAATCGCAGCAGAGATTCCCGAGGGGTCCAAAAACATTCCCTCGACCCGCAATAAACGTCGCGTTAAAGGAGAGTCTGAAATTCAAAAGCTAGAATTCTTCGAGGAAGGAGGCGTCGTCTCGAGGCTCAAATTAACTCCGTTTCGTTTCGTCTTTCGATAACAATTTAGAGGAAGATGAGAAATATTTCTGAACCCATTCGTTCGTCTCCTTTATCGAAACGTCGTCAACGAACATATTTTTCTTAATCATTTTATATAGATTGTCGACAAATATTGCTGGCTATCTTCTCAATTTTTACTTACAAGCTTCGTAACGACGAAAACGTGGACATTTGTTAATACCCAGTATACGAATTGTCTGCCGATTCTACGCTTTTTCTAACGAACAGTAAGCCGTAACGTTGCAAACGTTTCAAGTTCCAAAATCGGGATTGAAATTATCGCGTGTCCTGTATTTCTTCTCTGGACAACTTTGACTTTAGTCAACAGACGTATTCTCGACTCGTTGAACGCATCAACGATTATTCTAAACGATCGGTGTCGATAACTTGTGACTTCCTTCAATTCTCATAAAAAACCCGAATCCTTGAGTTTCCCTCGACACCTCGCCGCTAGTTGCACACTTCGACACGCTTACGTTTCACATTTCGTGTCCAATAAATGATGGTGATAATAGTCATCGTAATAACTCGCTACGTAATTAGCTAAGAAAAGTTTTCTTATGTACATACGGCGTTATCATCGCGTTAGGTAACTGACCTACGACCGATTTTGTTCGCGGCTGTATCTTCTACTTGAGACTCTTATTCGTTTATTTATTTACTCATCATCAATATTATCATTATATATTTTAAGGCCATACTTAAGGAGTGGAGCGTTTGGACAACTTCCGTATGTTTGTCGCCGCGAAGGACTTGGACGATCCCCGGTAAGATTTTATGCAAAGCTGGATCCACGTAAGTGCATTTCAGGCTCGAGGGTTGAATTTACCAATTGGAAAAATAATAAAAACAGTTTTGGTAAGCACAGGGCTATGTTCATAAAATTCATTGGTCTTTCTGTTCTTCTAACTCTCTGTTAAATTATTAACAAAAAAAAACTGGTACCTTGTACGATCAATTTTAATTTTAATTCTACGTAAGGTAACGAGTTGATCTGACAAAAAAATTTCTAACGTTAAATCCATGCCTCGAACAAACATCACTTAACGTGGATTCACCACATACATATTCATGCAATGCTCGTTTGGTTGATCCTCGAGTTTCTTGTGACTCTGAACGAAGCAACTGCTTTATTATTATTATTATTATTATTTCTCCTTTAGAGATCCTTTTGGTGGATGATCTAAAAAACGGTCACAGTACCGCATTTCCTTTAACCAGGAAATGATCTATCTTTCTCCATACGAGCCGTTCGCTATGAGAATAGTGCAAGCTCATTTCTAATAACTTATCGTCGATAAATATAGTTGTCAGACGTTTAAAACAATATAGACTCGAAGAAAAATATGTGTTTGGCAAGCATAAACGGACTTGCGATATTTTTATAATTATCGAATCTCAAATGGACTTGCACTCTATTTACTTATCGATCAATTTCGAACTACATGCGCTACCAATCGATACGATGCTGTTTCGTGTCTCGACAGTTACATTAATTCAAGTACGCGTGTTTTTACTTTTCATTGTAAACACTAGCACTGGTAATCGTCCGTGGGTCTGGGAACGCGACGCTATTGTCGTAGGAAAATAATCACTCGTGCTGGTGGCCTTTACCCTACTTCCATAACGAATACTTTATTCTTTTCAGCGATTGAACTCGAGAGGACACCGACATAAGGTAATTTTTAGTTATTTAAAACAGCACTTCCGCGAGACAATGGCGACATCGACCTTTTTTTCTTTATAATTGGTTTTAGCATCTGGATCACTCTTATCAGCGATCCCTTCCACATAGTTAAACAGGAAAACTCAACGCGTCTTTCAAGTGTTTGTGGAAACTCGTAGTTATTTGTAAAACGTATTTACACAACTTTCATAACGAACGGCTCTCACGGTACGCTGAATCCGCTGAATGCGTCTCGTCGGGCGCGTCTACTTCTAGACTCGCGTCTATGAACTCGAAAGCAAATCCGCGGATAGAAACTATAGCCCATCGCGGTGTCGCTTAGGCGCGCATTTCTACGTGGACGATGGAATATCTCGCACCTTTGTTCTCTCGTCTCCGGTCGGCTAGGATACATCTAGGAATCATTAAGGCCACGATACCAAGTAATCAGCGATCGTTTGCGAGCGATTGCACAGGATACGCGCGATCGAAGAGGAATCCGGGCTCTAGGAAACGGCACGCGGAAGGGGGGGAGATCGCTGAGAAGCTGACGGGAACACCCCCCGGTTCTCCCCCGGTTCGATCGTCTACGACCGTCAGTCGTGCGTGGAGGAAACGATACTGTTTAAAAAAATAGCTTTCTCGGCGTTTCACTCTCTCTGTCTATTTCTTTCACGTTTACCACTCGAAAAGCATTCGCGGGACAGTCCGATTATATCAAAAAATGGCCGCGTCCCGAGCATCCGTGACACGGTGAACACCGAGCCGGACAATGGAAAACTACACTTACGCGGGTCCCTGCGCGCGAGCGAGCGCATCATCGGTGGTCAACGAAGATACTTTCCGTTATCGTGGTCCTGCTGCTTAAGGAGGAGGACTCTCTCTTCCTCCCCTCTGTGTACTAAAGAACGTCCTTCTTCGTACGGAGCACCGAACGACACGCGAACGGAGGGCGACGGAGAGGACGCGCGACTCTTCGGGGGCGAACCCCGCGCCGTTGTCGCGAGACCGTGGGCGCCATTTTCTGCTTCAGACAGGGGCGCTAGGCCGTCGTAGGAGCGACGAGAGCAACGAGCGTCGAGGTGGTCGCCGCCACGGGCGAAACAGTCGACGCTCGGAGTCCGAGGACGTCTGCTCCTCGACGGTCCCCAAGGGTCAAGCGTTCTCTTCCTCCTCGTCGATGTCGTCCGACGACTCCGAGGAGGACGTTATGAGGGCGGTCGAGAGACTAGGGACCTGCGCCGAGTTCAGGAACGAGCCCATGCGATACTTCTGAGGCGTGTTCCAGCATTCTGGCAGAGAATGGGAACCGTCGTCCGTCATCTTGTCCGACTGCGGCCTCTCCATGGAGCCCAGCTCCATCATCGACACCCTCCTCGTCGGACCCCTCCTACTGTCTGCAAGAATTAAACCACTCCGCTTATCCGGCTGTCCCCTTGGCTACACTACTCGGTCAGGTACAGTTCACCACCCTCGATTAAACGCAATAGCAATTTTTCAATATTCCCCTGAACTTCTGACGCTGCTTCGCTGCTGGTCTAGTCAGTAAGGCTTCCCTTGGACAAATTTTCCTGAGAGATTCTAGAAGGTAAAATAAGACGAAAACCAAGAATATCAATCTGTTGATTGAAGCTTCCTCAATAACCTTTTAACGAAGCCTCAATCAACAGATTGATATTCTTAATTTTCGTCTTATTTTCACCTCTAGCATCTGTGGCCAAATACTCTGTATAAGAATGGAGGGGTCAGTCAAGAGCGTAGTTTTATGGCATGTACAGGAGATGGCGCTACAAATTCACTTTCCCGTCAACGTATTCTGTTTTTCTGGAATAAGAGGCCCTAATTGAAACAGTATAGTATGTGACCACTTATACTAGAAAAATGGAATGTATTAATCTGAGTTCAGGATAATATTGAAAAAATTCTGAGCGTCGTCAAGAGTACAACGTATCAGCCATAGATAACGCGCCACGGGGCTGTGCAAAACCGGTTCAAAGTTCCTCCTTTCGTTCTTTATAAAGGTTACACCCTGTACACGATTGGAATTTGTAATTTCTAAACGCTGCTCGGTTCGTTGCCAGGCCATACGCGTTTCACAACACAAAGGCACTATCGTTATTTACCGGGTACGCGTATTTTATTGTCATCGCTTGGAAATAAACCTCGTTAACCCCTACACTATTTTTTGTCTGTCCTTCGTGGTGGGCCTGTAACATGGAGTTTCCTGGTTGAGCGTGTGTGTTCAATTCTTGTGTGCAGAGAGTCTCATTCTAATCCGTAAGTGGGAACACATTGCAAAGTACAACCAAAAATCGTTCTGGCGATTCTTAAGCGGGCGCACACCTTTACGAGGATCGATTTTGTTTTTATCGGTTTATTTAAACGTATACAATACAACCCCGAGAAAGTTTCCAATCACGCTTATACAACATTCACAAAAATATTTACAAATGATAAAATAGTTCAGACGAACAGGGAACGTAGGCGGGGGTTAAATAAAATAAATAAGTACAAAATAACACGTACTTTCGTTTATTATCAAAAAGGAATCAAAGGAAAAACAAAATATTAGGTGAATTAAAATTTTCCCAAAATGTTTGCCTTCGAACAGCATAATTTTCCTACCCTTACGGTTCATATAGGTTTTTAAAAATTAACGCTCTTCTGTACAACACTGTACAATATTTGTAGTCACTGAAAAAAAATGTTTAAGGTCTGATACATTCCTATTACAATCTGTCCTTTGACAGTTCCCCCGGAGACCGGGGTAAACAATTATTTTTAATTGGTCGTGTAACTCGATAGCCCGCTCGCTTACGGATTGAAATGAGACAACCTGTGCAGAAACTATCATGTCGGATCTTTGTTTCCAGGACCGTGACAAGGGCACTCACTCGAGGCTCTCGAGGGTGAGTCCGTCTGCTCAGTTCCGGTCAGCGTGTAGTCATCGTGTTTGTCCAGGGAATCTTGACAATCCATGCTGTCCGGGGTGCAGACGCTATCTCGCCGGAATAGGCCAATTACTGACTGGACCTTTGGTTGCTCGATTCCACCTTCGATGGTAAGTGAGCATTAATAACGCAATTAACGTAGATACACAGAGTGTTTCGTCTTTGTTCGTCTCGACTCCATCGTACGTCTCAGTATTGTTTAACGACGTACAAAGAACGCTTAAGAAGAAGTCGCTTCTAACCGAGAAATTATTCGACCTCCCCTATCATTACGTGAAGTTTATTTAACGGCGAGTGCACGAATCTGCGCAGTCTCGATACGAGTTTTATTTAGAAAATTATTGTCTGGTAGTCGAAACGACCGAAACGCCCGGTGCATTGCGGGTACGTGAAAGACGTGCTCGAAGAAAACTATGAAAACACAAAAGCGACTGTTCTCAAAGGCTGAGTCTGAGGCACGCGCGTATGGTTAAGGATATCAAGCGTATTCGACGAATGCACGGTGAAGCTTTCGGCGTGTGATGCATAATCGATCGTGTATCAACAAAGTGCGTTGTGTGTGCGTGTGAACGAGGCTTAAGGGGATTGGGTAACCCAAAAAATTCAAGGAAGGAAACAGAGTTCGCGAATTCGCGCGATAAAAAGAAAACGATAGAGTAAACTCGGAACGATCTGAAGCGTGACATTTACATGTTCTCTAACCGGAAGTGGGTGCAATTGAGATCCGATAGTATCCTCCCGGGGTTTCGTAAGCTGGCTCTGTCTTCAGTAATACGGCTCTCCTGTAAAGCATCGTATTTTCACCGTTCACGTACCCGTCATTTACACACTTGTTCACCGAGTCTCATCGTTCTCTGTATAAAAACAGACGCAACGATGGCGGCCGCGAGACACAACAATGTTTACATTCTAAATACGTGCTCCGAACCTTACGTTAAGAATCGATCCCTTGAAAAATGGTTGGTAAACCTGAAACAGGGCTTAAACATTAAGCGTTCGTACGATTCATTCCTAATGACAAGAGAAACATGGTGCAAAACTTCCTCCGGTTGCAAGGGATTACCCGATCCCCTGCTAGGTCGACTTCCGGGGGCTGCTCCGGGCAAAACAGATTCAGAATCGTCGGTGTTCCGCAAAAGTGTGTACGGTCGCAGAGTTTCGTGTACGCGTGTAGTGTGTAGTGTGAGTTCACGTAATTGAGTAAATGTAGCCAGCCAATGAAATCAGTGTACTGTACTAGTTGTATCGGTACTCTATCGACGACGCCAATCCTACGATGATAATACGACGCTGTTTGTGGTAATCGTACCTAAGAATGTCGCCGACGGTGAACTGTACGCCAGGTATTCTTTGTTCGAACACCAGGCTGGGAACTCGTTCTGCTTGATCGGGTGCCCGGAATCGTAATCGTCCTCCCTCTTCCACGGCAACATCGTTTCCGTGGCGGTGGGCGTCGTTACCCTGTAGCTTTCTGCAAACATCGAACGTCGTCCGTTCAAATCCAATCGAATTTCGTCGAAGCACGTAATACTGCAAACTTTTTCACCCGAACTCGTATTCGCGAATAAACGTAAAATAAATCGTGGATAATTTTTATTCCGACCGGTTGAATATACTCGCGTGGCAATTTGTCTTTAAACGAATCCCCCAAAGGTTCTTTCATCCCGTTTAATTCTGGGAACGTACCGTCGCGACCCAGCTTCAGTTCCGGGTCGTCCGTGTTGATGGTGTCCATCGAGGTGGTCGTGGTGGCGCCGTGATGGTTCTCCGCATTCACGTTCGACGAGTCTACGGAGAATCGAGCGATAAGACATTTGCCTGTGAATGGCCCGGAGGAATTAGCTCCTCCCTTCGTCGCGTTTTCGTTGAAAGAAGAGTCTAACGAGTCCGAACATCGGGGGTGGAACTAATTCCTCAAAGGGATCTCGAATCGGGAAGAAAATTCCGCGTCCGGTAACGAGACTCCGTTGGAGCCCAGGGTTCGGTACCGGGCGGCGAAAAAAATGGAATCCTCACCGGAAGTACGAGCCGTGAAAGTTATCGCCGAGTCCCAGTCCTCTTTGCTGGAAGGCTTTGAGGTGTCCCCGTTCTCCAGCTCGTACAGAACGCCGTTCATGTAATCTGCGACCAATTGAAATTCACCTATTCAGACCCGGAAAAGCCTTTTCGCGCTAAGCTCGGTGGGGGAGAGGGGAGCATCGATATTCTTTCGCCAATTTACCTTGGGTGAACAACTTCGTCGAGCCGTTCTGCTGGAACTCCGGGAAACTCACGTGATTCTGCTTCCCGTCCTGCGAAAGTTTGTTAATTACCTGATCGAAGATTCGAGAGAGAAAAAAAAAAAGCAAACTACAAACTCGGTACGGTCTTCTCTTACTTTGAGCAACTTTTTGCTGCGCTTGTGACGATGCTTGTGCTCGCCCATCATCCTCCGTATGTTCATGTGCATTTTGTAATTGACTTGGGTCGAGAGGTCGCGATCGTTCACCGCGTGCCGGCTGTAGCTCAACCGTCGATGCTGCAAATCAATTTTATTTCGTTTATCGCGTTCCCGCGGGCCCGCGAAACTTCCCAAGGGGCCTATAAATCGCCCGAGGGTTCTTTTATTTACAGCACGGAGCGAGTCGTAGGGTTTCCAAACGTTTCACCTTCGAGGTACCCTTAAAGTTTGACTGCTCGATCGAGGACGCCAGAAAGGGTCAGTTATATTCAAATCTAATGCGCGAAAAATTTCCTCGACTACACGTTAGATCTCTCAAACTTTATTACAGTCACGTCAAGTGTCAAGAGTCCTATCTAGATTTACGTTTCACTGTGCAGCGAGAGGTCCAGTCGCCCATATATCAGTCAAAGCGTTAAACCGTGGGTGGCCATTTTCTCGAGTATTCCCGGGCAAATAATATTGGAGATGTATCGGGGGGGTTGAAGATTACAGTACTGCACCCTAGTCAGCAAAGTTCTCAGGGCCGCGTGCACACGTATATGCAAATCGTTGTCAGCAGGGAGGGTTTCTTACCCTCTTGTAAGGTTTGCAAAGTTCCTCGGCCAATAGGTGGTGGATCCTGGCGTCCGTCAGGTCCTTCTTGGAAGGGTTGTACTCCAGCTCTTGGAGATCAATATTCCAGCCCGTTTCGAGCTGGCTGCAACTCGGACTGGAAGGAGAAAGAATGAGACTGCATTTTATGACAGGCTGCCACTTCGAGATCGATACCGCGCCTCGAGAAAGGTCGTTCAATCGAGATACAATGCAGACCTATCTTCGGTTACGCTCCTTGTTACGGAGTGTGCACAGGGTGAGTCATCGACACCCTAAACCATTCTCGAAACCACGCCGGGGAAACCTATAGCCCGATAAAATCTGCCTCTGTCAATTTTAATCCCCCTCAACTCATTACATAAATTATTTCTACGCGATCAGTGCAAGCGATCTTTTGTTATTTAACTAATTTCCACGTTATCGTTACGCTAAAATTCCAATAAAATCAGTCTGTTATTGCACCGAGGTCTGAAAAATATGTTATCGCGTATCTGGTTCGAATAATATTTGACTCCCGTGTTTTCATCCCCCCGAAGGCTCGGATTCGAAACATTCCACGTCGGTGCAGTTCGTTTCCATTAATTCCTCGCGTCACGATTCATTTTTCCTTCCTCGAGGGGCCGAGGGAATGCACCTGTTGTGTCGAAGAAGCAACCTCCATCCCCCGCGGCGTTTCTTATCGGGATAGGGAACAGGTCAAGTGCGAACTCGGGGGATCGAAAGTCGGAGGAAGAGGGAAAAGGGAACCACCATCCCCGCCACCGTACCTCCCGTGAAATTGTCCCGTGTTGCTATAGTTGCGGAATATGGCGGACATGCTCTCCGTTCCGCTTATGTTCCCGATGGTGGACGCGTTTCGCCTGATGTAGTCCATGGCGTCCTTCATCGCGAGCTTCGAGTACGTTTCCAAGATTTTCGGCTCGGCGCCGCAATGGTGCCTCACCAGATACGGCCGGATGAATTTATTATCGAACCGTTTGAATCTGCAAACCGAGAAACAAAGTACAGGGAGGGGGGGTGCGAATCGACGCCATTGTTTATTCGCTCGACGGACGCGCTGTAACGCTCGGGGTATATTTCCGCGCTGGAATAAAAAAAATATTATGCGAATACGGGATCGCGAGTATCGCGGTTTACGAGTTACGGAAGATAGGAATTGAGCTAAATTTTATTCCGATAATAACCAGCGAAGCCCACGCATCGGAATTTATTTTCGTTCGACGCTTCTATCCGCATAAGAATGTTATCCGTTTCCGTGGAAGATTGAAAATTACTAATCCTGCAAATATTTAGACGCCATGTTCGGGAGCGGTTCTTGAGTAACAATTGTGAATCGAAATGTACGCAAGGAAATTGTTTCCAAGGGGTCACCGCACAGTTTGAAAAACTACTTCGGCGTGTTAATACACCGTTCGATCATCACGAATGTTTGCACGAACGAATAGCGTCCACGGCCGGGCAGAAAGGACATAAAATTTCAATAGGTACGACATTACGAGCGCTTCCTTTAATCTTCCATAACTCAGAAACCACGGTAAGATCCCGTGTTTACACATTTTTTACTTCCTCCACCCCGTGGATTTATTCTCCGAAGTATTGTGCGTTTATCACCACGGCGCAGACGTTTCATTAGAACCGTGAAAAAAAAGCTATGTATACTTGTCTCGGACGTGGTAGTTGCCGTGCTTTCCTAAAATGTCCTCGACCCCGGCCATAACGTGATCCATTATCTGAAAAAGCAGAAATGTCATTTTTATATTTTTTATTCGCGGGATTCGAACGTCGCCGGCGCTTATTATATCCGTTATCTGGCGTGATATACGCTAAGAGTATCAACCGCGAAACGACTCGGTTAATTTACTGGCCCATTGTTCTTGTTTTGACACGTTCATTTACGCACCGACCGCATTTGGAAATCAATGGGATCCGCGAGAACGTGGAGCGCCGACCAGCGTCGATCGTTGATTTCCCCCGCCGTTCTTTTTCGATATTTAGCGACAAGAACAGAGCAAAACGTTCCAATCGACGAGCGTTCTATTACGAAGATTTAAGAGAGATCCGTCTTTTCGCCAATATAAATATTAACTTTTGGTTCGCGCCCCTTTAGTCGTTACCCACGTAAATTGCGACACGTTCGTTTTAAATAGATTGTCGGCTATCGATAAAAAGTTTGTAACTTCAGCGTCGCGTCGGGTTATGGAGGGTTAATCCGTGCAACGAACAACGAATAAATTTGTTCGTAACAGTTAAATACAGAAGTATTCTTTACCGATCAGATAACCGAATAGAGTGTAGCGTGTTTGGTACTCGTCGAATGGATCGCCCTGAAAGGAACGGATTTATTTTCGCGCGAATGGCACTAATAGCGCCATTTGTTAGATAACGCGGCGTCCAATGAAGCCTCGAAACAGGTGTCATTAAACGCGATGCCAGAAGTGACAGCGACTTTTCGACGCTCGTCGAGAAATAACGACGAAATAAAGAGCCGAGCGTGCTACTTTTTGGCTTCGAAAGGCGACCCCGGAACTCGACCAACCGCGAAATTCGCTCCTCCGTGGCTGTTTTTCATTTTCTAAATTGCCAGAAAAACGGCTCGACGCGATACCCGAACGTTCATATCATCGATACTTGGAGTGCTTCTACAAATCCATCGCGTGTATTTATTAATTGGGAACGTACAGTTCCTCTCACTCGTGTTCGTATGCAATGGTGATTCGCTATATGTAAATCGAAAAAACATGTCTCTCATGAATTGGGATGTTTTTGAAGCAGGTGTGGGTCCATTTTGTTGCGCATTGAGATATTTAAGGGTTTATATTTGAATAAAGCAAGAATAAAACAAGTGCAGCTGCATAGGGATGTGTGACTTCTCCGAGAAAAACCACGTATTCTTGATTTGTATTATTGTTTTTGCTGTAATTGGGCATTACATTGGGTTAAAAAAAATTACTTTGTAAATAGAAGTAACCCACAGTGTAATAAACAATATTTATAGCGAATCACCGTTACAGTGTTGGAATACGAGTGAGATGTGTTATCTTGTTAAAATATAAAAAAAAAAGACGTTACGGGGCTCTGATTTGAAAACAGCGACAGAAGGCAATAAGAAATGAAACGTCTTGGAGAAAATCGATTCCCCAGTCGCCGTCGAGCACAGAATACAATGACGCAGAAGATTAATATTATCTCGATGACGACGGCCATTGTGATTTTTACGAGCCGTTGTTCCAACTGAAGCGCGAAAACGTTCGGGGAGGGGCCGCGTGTTTAATATTCGACATCATGAATGAACATCAAAGACGAGGGAACGGTCCCGGATATCTGATCGCCAGGGAATACAACGTGTCAGATTGTTCGATAGTTTAGACGAGTGTGTTTCAATTACAAAATCGTTCGATTTTGCCCATACCTGCGTGCGACACGCGTCTATAATTTATACGTGTCGAGGTCCCGGCTCGTTATTCCTTCGTATTTTTATCAGTCGATCGATCGTTATTACAGTGTGAAACCAAGTTTATTCTACGGTCAACAACGCGTCAAGACGCGAGACGACACGGTACACGCACCCGTTCGTGGATCCTCTCGTTCATGGTCGGCTTCTTCCTCTCCGCCCTCTTCACGTTCAGGATCTTCACGAGCGGCTTGATCGTGATGCCCTGAAAACAGATTCACCTGACAGCTCGAGCTCCTCGTGAGATAGGGTGCACGCGAAAACGCGATCCAAGGACTTATTATTGCGATAATATTGTCGCCCGAGTGCCTCTAAATAGCCCATTATTCACGGCGGTGGTTGGTGTTTGTCGTTCCAAACCCTTTACCGAGCGAATTGGCGACATTTTTATTAACGTTTGTTCGAACAATGCCGCGAGCTGTTAAGTAGCTGCACGTTCTTTGTGGACGGATAGTCGTTTCTTTATTAATGGGAAACGAAAACGATAAGTAATTGTTTTTCCAACGAATCGTCGTTCGGCGTTCACGCGTTAATTATTACAACGAACCAGCGAGTTTAAATTGATTTCCCACGCGCGTTTAGTCGGAAGAAACCGTTCTCTCACCGATCGAGATTAAATCGATTACGTGGCAAATTGCGCCAGTCGAGAATGGGAAGTGTACTTTCGTCATCCGACAAGAAATTTCGTCTTCCACCGGCCGGAAGCCGCGTGTCAGGTTGGCCTTTTGTGCACAGACTGTCCTGACCGCGAGGATCGACCGGATGTCGCGAGGCCGCCAGCCACGGACCGCCCGACGTCGATATCGAGTTTCCGATCGATTGCGCGACAAAGTCGATGGTGTTTTTAGAACTAATGGAGCCGCGGAGCCGGTTCCACTCCGATCGCAAACAGAACGCGCCTCCTGGACGAAGGAGGGTGTTTTTTCTCATTCCCCTCTTCCTTTTTTCCTCCCCCGTACAGTACGCTTTAACCTTTCGCGATCTAATTGCGTTCGTATTTCATTCGCCCCGGCTCTTGCTTTACACAGAACTAATTCTTCCTCGAAGGAGGCGGGATTTAAACCCGAAGAATTACACGGCGAAAGGGAACGACAACGGAATTTTCGTGATTCCCACGAGTCTCTTCGTCGAACTTTGAGTGGACGTATTTATCAGCGACTTAGCGATCGACACATCCTGCAGTGTTTGTTAAATATCGCGCTCCGAGCTTAGTTTCACTGTGTAGGAATTTATTCGAGTCTTTGCAGCATGGTATAGCAAGGTTTACAGAAGGAAAGTCTTAGAAGACGAATTTTTAAGAAAAATCAATAGGGGATAAATGCAGAAATTTTTCGACGAAATTTAAAAATTTCAAATCGTTCTGGAAAAATTATTTTTGGTTGCGGGGGTCAATCACAATCATTTTTGGTGAATACACATACCCTCGAAATCCTACGCACTACCGAGACAAAAATTCAGTAGGTGTTGAAATTTTTCGACGAAATTTAAAAATTTCAAATCGTTCTGGAAAAATTATTTTTGCTTGCAGAGGTCAATTACAATCATTTTTGGTGAATACACATATCCTCGAAATCCTACGCACTTCCGATAAAAAAATTCAGTAGGTGTTGAAATTTTTCGACGAAATTTAAAAATTTCAAAACCCTCTAAAAGAATTATTTTTGGTTGCAGAGGTCAATTACAATCATTTTTGGTGAATAGACATACTCCCGAATTCCTACGCATTTTCGCGAAAAAAATTCTTTACCGAAAATATAATGTCTGACCATAAATGTTTCCCTGATATTTCATGCGTATGTTTAAAAAATTACAACTTCTGTGCAGATTGAAGGATTTTAATGTTTCAACATGCAAACAACGCGTATTTTGTTGAAGAATATTTAGAAATTCTAAGAATGTGATGGAAGTTGCACAGGTACTGATTTTTGCAGGGTCCGTAAACGCGTCGTTTGTGTAATAAATACACCCGAGACAGGAGCTTATTCACAGTTACTCCAGATCAAAACAATATCTCATTACATTCCACAACTTTTCAACGAACAACCATGTCATGCAAACTCTGGCAACAGAAGAGCCTTCGTTACCAGTTCTTCCTACGAATGGCTGTTTTTAAGTTTTATTAAGGGCGTTAACATTGTCGAGTATTCCAGCATCGCAGGAATAACAACGCGTCTTTTTTAACCCAATTTTCCTGCCACGTAACAAGTTTACGACGGCTAATCAGCTACCGTTGAATCAAAAAATAACTATCGATTTTTGCTAACGACAAAGTCTTTTCTTTCGAACAACACAGAAAGTAGTATTTCTGCATAAATTTATAAAGTCAAACGTACAAAATCTCAAGCGTGGAGTTTTGCACCATTTAACAATCAAAGATGAACTATTCTACTTGCATAAAATTTTTCAAAATTTTCTGAACCTTCGATGCTTCCCTGTAACTTAGGTGTACTCAGACTATGTTTGCATAGTCGCTGTAACCCGAACCACGGGCGGTGCCGGTTCTTCCTCACCCCTTATGGTATCCCACAAGCTTTTTCTTTTCGGAGCATAATAATAGATTGGCCAACCTCCTAGAAAATTTCTATTCCGGCACGGTAATTAACATCGGTGACTATTAGCTTCGTCACCTTTGCGAGAACACCACATTTCCACGGTTATCCTTGCTAAGAATTTTTTTAAAACGAAAAACTACTTTCCTACTTAATTTGTTGCATCGAGCAATAACTCATTCCGCTTCGAACGTTGAAACGTCCGTAGTCTTAGACTTCCTTTAACGCGTCGATCGTTGTTAGCCTACACGGTAGAGGAGCATGAAAGATGAAAAGAATTCTTTCTTCGGATACTCCCACGCAATATCAATATTACAGTAACAGTTGAGATAGGTTCGAGTTCATCCGCTGTTGTCTACGATGCCGGAACGGCCGAGGCAAGAAATAAAAGTTGCTGTATTACGTTGGCAACAAGTGGCGTAACAGTGATACAAACTCGCGGAGACTCGACAGAGACGATATGAAATTCAAGCGACTAGATTAGTCGAAGAAAATAGTCGTAAGAAGCACTTCTTTCGACCGATGCTCGAATTTAATACCTGTTAATCTCGTTTGGAAAGTCAATTTTCTAACCAACGGTTTTCAAATCTTCAGGCATCCGGATTTCTGTGTTTCCAAAAATCCCTATTTGGTTGGCGAGAGTTTGCACTCGCAAGGGTTCTGGTCGTTTATCGATTAGAATTTAAAACTCGGAGAAATTTCATGAAAGTAAATTCAAGCGGGGTCATTGAATGGTTCCCCGGTTCTAAATCAACATTTCTGGAAGTTTACTTCACGGGAACCCCAGGGCCACAGACCCCGGAGAACTACACTCGGACGGATGTTGATTTAGAGAAAAGGGATTTTCCCACTATTATATTACCCTCTTTAAATCGAACAACCTTTCCTTTGTCTACCTACGATTCCACTGGAAATATTCGAGGGTGCTACGTCGGGGAACATTATCCAGTATTATTATTGTAAACGTACAGAAATTTTCAACTCCCGTGGGACGCCGGTTCTCGAAGTAACCCCAACAATAGATGCAAAATAAAACGTTAAAGAAATTGTTTGACCGCGATGGAAATTGCTCCTCTTCGATAATGCTCTCCTTATTCTTCGTTGGGGAGGATCACGATGCACTGGCCGCTGCTTAGATATTTTCTTTCGAACCGACCGTTTTCCGAGAATCTTCTTAGCATGTCAAACACAAAAAGATACAATTCCCTGTACTATGCCCCATTGTGTCATCCTCTACTATCAAAATCCTTAAGAATTCGAAGGAGACTCGCAGGAGATATATTCTGTCTTCAATTTGTAGTCTATTCTGTCCAGAAACTCTGTAGCCGCCATTTTCATAAGCTACGAGTATCAATTCGTTCGCTTAACTAGTCGACCAATGGAACACGAATCATTTAGATTTCTGCCATTTAATAATAGCAGATTAAAAGTTTAGAAACTCCAAAACGCAATTTAGATATCGTCTTGAAATTTTAGGATTAGAATCAACCGAAACTATGAGATACCGTATTTCTAATTATCGATAATCCGCTTATCAAAAATCAAATTTTTCATCTCGCAATGTTTATTCCAATTTTGCTGGCAAACTAGCCACGAATTTTTTAAATCCGGCATCCGGGCGATCCCGTAAGCCGATTCACGAATGAATCTACAATTTTTTTTCGTTAGCAGTGAATAAAATTTGTCCAACTCCGGCAGCGTCGGTCGCGTTTCTACCAAAATAAGAATTTATTTGAAATTGTTGCCGTCGAATCGGACGTGAAATTTTTATTTCGCAGACAAACGAGGTTTTTTCACTCCCCCCCCCGGTAGACCATATTTCAGCGTGGCCCGTATTTTCAATATTAAAAAATATCAGAGCGCAGGAAATACGTTTTTATAATCTTACGTTGAGATCTGAAAATGTTCGGGCGCACGGTTTCCTTCGAAAAAAAAATCCTCGTCCCCTTAACTCTTGCACGGTGGCAGCTGCATGGGAAACGCGACACCGGCTGCTGAGATCGTGCCGCGATATTTACTCTCGAACGGTGTTTTTCTTATCTCTCTTTCGAAGTTCGATCGTTCTTTTTTACCTGTATGAACACGGTGAAGTAGATGACCGCGATGGTGGTGGTGACGAACATCGGTTGCAACGGCACGTGTCTCGGGTCAATCAGCAGAACCAGAGCGAACGCCACCGCTCCGCGTAAGCCTCCGTAAGACATCACGAACTTCTCTACTTTGTCCAGTCTGTGCAGCCGGAACTGATTCGCCACAGCTGTCAGAACGATCACGCCTGGAAATTCCGTTTCGACCCCCGATTAGTGCTCACAAAGCGACGACCTGCCTTTCTAGTCATCCTAACATTCTACTAACGAGCACACTTTTGTGTTTCGAGACAACGGGACGAACGGTTGAACAATTTATATTATTTTGTAAAAAACTGGACAAAATATGGTATCAAATTCTGGTTAGCTTCCGATGTAAATTAACAACACGTATTAAAAATAGTTAAAGTTTACACGCGTGCAGTTCCGAAACTACTAATGTTCTCTCCATAACTGAGCCACTGTTAGTAGCGGCAAAGCCTCATCTTTAAAGTGGCTTTTGGTTTTTGGCGATCCGATTCTCCGTTTTCGAGATATCGTAATTTATGTAAAGAGGTGATTTTTTAATTTGGACTATCTCTGTCTCCGTCTGTCGCGTCGCGTTGGGCCTCTCTCTCGCGCGTGAGTCGAGACAGTCGCGTGACAGTTCATTCACCTCGCGCCGATGTCAACAATGAAACGTAAACAAACTTCGAACCCTTCTATCTCCGGAACTAGCCACCGCATCGACTTGAAATTAAAATCGCTATATCTTCGGAACTAATAAAGCTATCGACTTGTTTGAACGCTCATTTTAAAGGGCATTTCATCCCCTATCCGATGCATTAACAATTATTATTTTTTACGCTGTTCTTCTATGTTTATTTTGCAATTTACTTTGACGCTATATTTCCAAAAATGTTTCAACAATTTTTACTGGTCATCTAACCGGTCGCGATAGGAATGAGCATACATTTAGTGTTAAAGCAACATTTCAAACATACGGAGTTTTAAGAAAATCGTTCGACTACTCTTTTTCCTATAAAACTCTGATTTCTCATTAAAAGATTGTTCAACTCTGTCCCGTTGACATTTTCGAATTATGTACCCGCTAAAAAGTCTGCAGATTGTTATATAAAATTCATTTCTCGTCTCCAGTTATTAAGTGCCTTTTTACTTAATCTTTGACAACTTGAGAACATCGAATGCCACGTCGTAGGACAACTTAATAATGAACAATGTTGCATTGTTTCAAACTTTATCGTTACGTAATTCAACTTTTTCCACTAGTATAATTTGAACGTTTGGACCACTGAGCGTCCAAAGATTCGGTGTCGAATCGTGTTTGTAATAAAATATTGTGAACTTCGAGACATTTTTACAATTTAGATTAATGTTTGTATTTTAGCGCTGGTAACTTCGGTCGGAAACGTTAATTAAATGTTCGATGCTCGGACAGACTAAAACTTCCACGCGTTTAACTCGCATAAGCACGAATTATCCAAACTATTGGCTAGCGATAAACTGTCGATTGGAACGGGAAGCCGTAAGCTCGTGACAGTAAGCCCTGATGTAAACTGATGGTCGTGGAAGGAGAGACGAATCCTGTTAAGAGTCTTCGGAGATTTTGTAACTTAAGCGGTAGATTTTCTACGTTCCGACTTCTTCGACGGTCGTGAGCACGTTTCTATTTTTTCCTTCGAGTAAAAAAGCACTTTCTATTTACTTTTGCATCGAGAAGTACCTCCATCCCGTTTCTACTGGGATTATTGAAACATCTTTATCAAGCGTGAATTTTAAGAAATTTCCAATTCCATTACAATGAATAATTTTTGTAACGCAATGGGGTTTCTGCCCGTAAATAAATTGAAAGAGTTAAGCGTTTAAGATAGTTCGCGAAAGACTTGCGAAACGTTGATTAATTGTCTGCTATTATTTTCAAAGTAAACATCGAGTAAAAATAAATTGGTACCACGGCGTAGAGACTTGAATGGAACGTCTCGCGGATTGTAACACATAAGACATCTGTTTGCACACGGTCTAGTGACCCCAAGCCATTACTCATCGTTGGGCGCGCCGCGTTGTTGCTAGGATTTGTTAAATGCTCCTCAGAGATTTTAGAAATCCACGCTGTCATAAAGATCTATATCGTTTCTCTGTCTATGTTTAGTGCATTCCTTGATAATTTGTTCCCGGAACAATACACCGGCAATTCCCAGAAACTTGTTTCCAGGCTTCGACCATTTGCGATGAAGTAGTGCTTCGAACTATTGGTTCCGTTGGAAAGTCTTCTCGTTCTTTCGAAAGAAATTGAAACTACCGCCGCGACGATAAAAGGCAAACAGTATCGTCGTTTATCGAGAATCGCGTGTTGGAAGAACCGAGAAGAAATCGATTACGTAAAAGGAATTGCGTATCGGAGAGAAGGATGATTTTTAGGGCCTCGCGTTTATTAGATTTTCAGGAAACAGGAACGTCCCGGGGAATATTCTATGCAAACGGGGTTCAAAGTCCCCTGTCTCGCTGGCGAACGTACTCCGATTAATAAAAAGACTGTTTTCGTTCCAACTCGACGTACAGATGTTCCATTTATTACAACCAAACAGTCGAAACAATGGGACGGTCGTCGAAAAAAAGAAATGAGTTTCCAGACTTAAGCTCACGGTCCAAATAATCCGTGAATTCATTCTCTCTCTCTTTCCACGCGTCACGGGCGTGGAACAGTGTCTCTCAAACCGTGGTCCCCGAGGGCCAACGTGTTTTCGGGCGAACAAAAAGAGCTGGCGTATTATATGATAGAATAACGAAACAAAAAAAAAAGTCCACGCGTGGCATTTTATTCTGATCAAAAACATCCGCCGGGAGGCTGTTTGTTGTCGGTAGCGAAATTACCCAAAAAAGGAAACCGGGGTAAACTAAAGAGCTCGAAAGTTCGTAACAACTGCAATTTTGCGTGCAGTTTGATCAGCATTCTTTCGAGTTTGTAAAATATTCATCGTTTATCATGCCGCTACGAAAATAACGCAAGATAGCGAATTTCATTTTTCCCGAACAAAAGCAGAGAAAGTCTCGAAGAAAAATTCTAAGATCGGTATTACCAATCTGTGATTAGCGACGTTAAAAAAATAATAAATTCGAGGCTTGAGAAACGCTGGAAACGTCCCCGGGACGGTCCAAAAATTCTATATACGTTTCATCCCCCGTTTGGCGCGTGCCAAACGGCGATCGTCGAGCGTCCTTGCGACGCTGACGGCCGCAAGAAACGATATTCTTGGCTCAAATCGCGTAACCAGTAAGTGACGCACGATAAGCGGTGATCGGTTTAGCTTAAGGCTCTTATCTCCGCTGATACCATTAGCGATACTGAACTCGTTCGAATCGCGCGCCTATTGCCCCCTCCCACTGTTCGACCGCTCGATAATCGACCAGTCGCTAGTCTCGATACTAAAATCGACCTTGAACTCACCGAGGATCCGGTAGACGGAGCAGAAGACGATGGTCATGAGAACGAACCACGTGTTCCAGTTGTGAGCGTTGTTCACGGTGGCGACCCCGAGGAACATGAATATGATGGTCTCCGAGCCGCTCGACAGCATTTTCATCGTGTACTTGACGGTCGTGTGGGACTTGTGCGATATGTTGGCCTCCACGTAATTCTTCATGGTAATGCCGCAGAAGGTGATCCTGCGATAAAGAGGTCACGGCTAATGGGGATAAGGGGAACCGTACGAGCGGTTGGGAAACTAGAGTTATCGATCGGACGCCGTTTCCTAAACGCCGTCGAAATTAATTCGGACGTACGATCCGGGACGGCGGCGTTCACAGAATCGATGTTCACGGTGGTAGGGACGGTGACGTGGTTTTGGGGTTACCGTTACCGATGGGTTCGAACCCTCCCTGAGTCTGCGTCAATTCCATCAACGTGAAATACTTATTTCATACCCCCGACTCTCTAAAAATTGTCTATTGTGCTCTGAGGAGACCTATTCTGGAGTACGGTAGTATCATTTGGCCTCCACGCTATAAAACGTGTATCTAATTCTTAGTTTTTATTTTATTGTTATTATCATTATTACCATGGTAAAGCTAGCTTGGCAAAGTATTAAAAATGAGATAAAATGTACTAGAAATACAAAAAACTTGCCACCATTGGACACGAATTTATCGAGCAAAATTTGTTCGCGTAACTTTGGACTTAATTTAATTCCAGTCTATCTGATTTATCCCATCGTCGTTTCTCGATACATTTCGGTTGTTCGGGATCGAACGCTGCTCGCGAGACGGTCGATCCCATCGGTAGCCACGGACTGTAGTCTCGTCGAACCGTTCTCGAGGGTGAAAATTTCTCTTGCGCCGGCACGCGATAACGCGCGTCTCTTTTATGTTGTTATGCTTATACGAGTCAGTTCGGGGGCTTCCATTTTTAAGTTCGTGTCTTCCGGAAGTAAGAAAGACGTAAACTCGTGCCGTGTTTTCGCTGTGTGCAAAGGGTGGTCCGTTATCGGCGTTGCAACCGCGAAACGGACGATTTCTCGCGGAAACGTAAGCCGAGAGCGCTCAATAAAAGTTTTATAAACAGAATTTTCAGAGTCAACCGACAATGAGGATTAGGATTGCAAATCTTGATATATACCGTGTCTATACTAAACGTTTTATGCCACCGTACTTTCAGTCTTTTCACTTCCACTTATTTTCTCGTTTCATTAGCGCGATCAATTATTCTCTGCGATTAATTACGCTTTCAGCTTTGGTTCATCGTTTATGCGGGTGACTTTGCACTGGAATTAGGTGGTCGTAAATAATAAGTGGACTTCGAAGGATTCCCATTTTCTTGCTTCCAATGATTCTCAATATTCGACGTGTTTAACCCAGCGTAATCCTGCGCGATCATCGAGTATCATTGTCGACAGAGAATCTACGTGATCAGCGAGTGTAATTCCTAATGATAGTAGGATTTGGCGGGCCGGCTTCGCCAAAATTAGGGACATACTGCGATAATCCGGCACGACAGACAGAATATTAAACAAAATTCTGGACTTAGAAGGCGATTGGGATTCTCTGGATTTACGCGAAAATCGATTCCTGAATCTTTGATGGAACTTGTTTTCCCGGTTACGTAAACTAAGCATTTTTCACTCTGATTAGCGAACACTATACCCCCTAAGTAAGAGGTTCGTAACCTCTTAACCCCTTTGAGGGTTTGGCGAAATCTGCGCCTCTTAACCTAAAAACCTAGACCTCCTTAAAAAAATGTAATTAAATGCGCAAAATAAAGTACGGTACCCAGGCACAGAATCTACTAAACGAAACAGTACTTTGCACGACAAAAATTACTTCGTTGGTTGCATTGTGAACACTAAGTTTTAGTTAGAGGTCTTTTCGTTCTATTCTAGCAACACGAAACCCTGAATAGGTATTTTAATCACCTAAAAAGAAGTCGAGAAATCTTCGTTGATTCTATGATATTCTACGCCTACGTCTGCTGCTTTCCGAGAACGCTATGAAAGGGGGAAATCAGTTTATCTCGGGGATTAAAATTAGAGCAATCTGGAAGACGCAAAAGAAACTAATTGGATCGCCCCAAAAAAGGACAATGGGCACTCGGTACAGAACTCGTCACGGTTAAATAAACAGAGAAAGTTTGTTGCAATTAGAAGTTGGGATTCTGTAAACCGAACGAACCAAACTATTTACACGGTCGAACGTGCGACCCCTTGGAATCGTTCGAATCGAATCCCGCCCGTAAAAAGATTCATTTTACTATCGTTAAACGATGGAAGCGATTAGGATTGCCGCCATTGTCTCGATACACCGTACGAAGTAGTTCGGTTCCCCTAACATTTTGCGCCGCGAGTACGTGACTTTCATTTCTTCTACTTTAAAACTTCCTCGACGCGCGGTAGATGCGAAATATTGGAAACTCCGCGTTGCACTGTCCATTACTACTTCGTTGTTGTCGAAGGAACGATGAATTATGCATAAGGCAGACGCGCGGTGCCTCTGATCGGTGAACTTAACGCGCAAAGTTCTCGTTCGACAACTACTGCGTGCGGTTCGAAGGCGAGTTGATGAAAATATGAGGGACTCGGAAGTTCAAGTGGTAGAAATTTACAACAACGGAACTTTTATAACTTCGCCGGGAATAAATTTTCAGAAGGATCGAGGTGTCGTGGGTTCGAATCGAACTGTCGTAACTTCGCCAACGGGCCTTCGAAATGGCGGGAGTGGCGGGACTGGATCGCGTAAAAATTTCGAGGAATCCTCCACTCTCGAGCTCGACGCTAATAAATGCTTTTGTGATCGCTGTGGAACGCGCGAGAAATTAAAAGAAATTAGTGTGTTTACGTGTACTTGAATGTATTATAGAAATACAGACCTTTAGGAATAAGGAACTGTGCTCGAAACGACATTTTAACTTAGCACCAAACAATTTAAAGTGGGCTTATGAAACGCCTCGAGGCCTTTGCCTAACACCTGGTAACCGGAGGCTTAATTGAGACGTTATGAATATTTAAAAAAATTCGATCCGCTTGTACACGTGGTCGGTTTCGTCTGGAGGACCCGCAAATAAACAATGATCGACTCGGAGGGGAGATAGACACATTTGAAATCCAGCCTGTTTGTTGGTCAAATAGGCCCGTACACCCTTGTTTAATCGTATAGATAAAAATCGACCGAATCGACCAAGAACCAGCGATTACGGGGCGAGCATATTTGAACAGTTATTACATAGAGCCGTACTTGGCATCGCGATCGATCATCGTTGGTACGACTTCGCCGGGGAAGCGTGTAAATAATAGACTTAACGAGAATCGCGCGGCAATTGTAAGTTAAGAGACCTGCGGACGGCCGTTCGATTATATCGACGAAGGCGAGATTAGCCTCGTTAGGCGCAACAAATTATCGAGCAATTAATAACCGTGAAGGGAAACAGGTTCGCGCGAGGCCCTTCGGTCATTTTCTTCTTTTTTTTTCCTCTTTGGACGTTGCGGGGATTTAATATCGAAAGCATAATGTTTCTCCGTTTCGTAGTCGATCGCGGTAAGAAATAGCGACTTTTAGAGAAGCGATTAAAAATGCACGTCGATCGATCGTCGCGGTTTCTACGGCACGGGAACACGCACCTTTGGATAAATATATGCGATAAATCGCGTGAGAACCGGGCAGAAGTCGGTTTCGGAATTTATTGCCGCACATAATTGGGGGTGTCAAGAATCGTGCTCTTGCTGGTTTAATAAATCCCTTGCGGTCGTCATAGACACGTGCAACGCGTTCGACTTTGTTGGCGCAAATGAGAGGAATACCCAGCCACGGCGAAATTAAGTCCCTCTGCATATATATATATATATATATAGTCGTGTTTCGTAATTAGCGTGGTTGTCTCTTTTCCCCGAAATTCCGAAGAATGAAACGCGTATCCGTAGAAAATATACCCGAGTCCGATATTAAACATTCCAGGTTTTACGAGACCGTTAAATCAAGTTAACATTAGATTTGGAAATATATGCAATCAATGCTTTATTCGACGATTATTTTCTCATAGACCACCGAGGAGGAAGTTTCTCTTTAGCAACATTCTTCCGCGACAAGTTACAAATTATAATCGTGTACAACGTACCGGGTAATTCAGCCGGTCTTGCTATAAAATACGACGTAACGCGAGATTGTACGAACCAAAATATTGCTGTTCTTGATAACGGGATATATATGTTCATCCCCCTCAAGCTCGTGCAAATTCTTCCGCGGATTATTCATAAATAAATTATTCTTGATTACATACATTATTAGTCGTAATTTAGGGGTCACTGTTTCCGGGATAGCTGGAAAATCTCGTTGCGTATTCGATTTTCAACGGTGGAACGGTCTTGATGTCCGAATGAAAGGAAAATAAAATTGTCAGTTTGTTTCTTTAACGGTAGTAAAACGAACGTAAGCAGTCCATTAAAGAAGTTCAAAGAAACACTGACGCAGATTTGTTGTAAGAAGTGAGTGCTCTCTTTGCTAACGCCGGACGTTAAATAAACAATGAAAAAGTTTATCGCACTTCTCTGACTATCCGCAAACTCCTGTACATACAACTCAACAACGTATCGTTTTGTCTTGCAAAGTATTGTTTAAGATCGCGAGAGAACTCGTAGTTCCAAACTTACCAACGATAATGTATAATTATAATGATTCATTCGGAAATGCGAATTTCTAAGAGGTTGTACAAGTTTCTACGCAAGCCACCATATATATATTAATTCTACAACACATTCTGTAAAACTTCGTGGCCCCTCTCGACTCGATTTACTTTAAAAAGATTTTCTTAGAAAGCGAACCGTTAATCATTTATACGGGCCTCTGATAAACGGTTCGTCGATAGTGTACGGTTCAAACTCGTTGACACATCGACTCCCAAGCGATTCTACACAAAGTTCTCTAAATGATACCTTAGTTAGGTTGTACCAAACTTCTCGGTCTCCGGAGCCCTTTATATTCCGAACAATTTATGCCAGGCCCCAAACTTCTGTTTACCTTGGTTCTACTGATCGATGTTCACCGTTTAATGTTGAAATTTGCACATTTAATTTCGTCAAAATAACGAATGCGATTTTCTAAATGTTCGATGATTTTCAAAATTACGTTCCTCTGATAAATTTTATTAGAGTTACTCCGAAGTCTAAAACTCCTTGAACCATTGGGCAGCCTGGTTTCTTGAAATGCAAAGGATTAATAGATGTATCCACAATCTCAAGAGATCGAGAAGAGATCTACTCACGCCAGAATGCTCGACATGTGAAAGATCTCAGCGTTCAGGTAGGCCAGGTAGGCCATGACGAAGATGAAGATGGGCTCGATCACCCGGACCTGATGGGTGAACCTTGTGACGAAACCAGTAGCAAAGCCCCATATCACGCCTATTATGGTTCCTCCGATGGCCACGACGAAGAACGACGCCAGTCCCGACAGCACGTCCGTGTAAAGGATTCTCGAGGGTCCCATTTCCGTGTACGCCTCGAACATGTGGTACAGCACCTGCGTGTCATTAAAGAACGACCGACTCGTCGCTTAATCGAGCCATTCGAAGCTTAACACCGCGAAGGACGAAGAGCTCTTCAGCCATAAGTCGAGCGCGAGGAACTACCAAGGTCCACTTATGCTGATAGCCCTACGCAGCTGTTTCGCGTTTCTTTTTTTATATTCGCAGCGTGACGAGATTGCATTCTAAACCAGTATTTCGACCATTATTTTGCCATGCTCTCGTTCCATAGCGCGGACGTGAAAATAGTATTATAGTCATGCACGTGCAGTCGTCTAATTTAACGATCTTGAATCCCTCGTACGCTCCACGATCGTATAAATACGCTTTGATTTTTAGGAAAGTTATTACTCGATCGAAAAATCGCCTCTTTTTATAACTCGTTAAGTATCGCTTTGAATCCGCTAAACGACTCCGTAAATCTTTTCTGGTTTAGACGCTCTTAATGGCGGAGGCCATTTTGGTTTTCTGTGCAGAACCAATGCGCAGCGAAACGTTTTAATAAGTTTCGCGGTTAGACACATTCGGATCGAATTTAGAAGGAATTTTGGAGCTTGGATATAGAACTGTTGATATCTAAATTTGGTACCAAATGTTAATCAAACTATGGAATAGTATGACTCTGTTGTTTCCCGTTGTTTAACAGAGATTTTCACATATATACGTACATTTACTCTCCACTTGTATTCGTACACTACAGGGTATTTCACCTAACTTGACCACCTTAAATATATCGCTTATTTTGTAAGATAGAAAAAAATGTCAAGGGGAGAAAGTATTCTGTTCGAAGGCGCCAATTCGGTGATGGATCGAATTTTTTTTTCAAGGTCATTTTTTTCGAGATTTCAAGGTCATCGTATTTTTTTTAAATGGGACCACATATTTTCGCTACAACAGTCTTATAGCTTATAAAAAGACGAATCCAACGATGTGCGATATGTTGATCTTCACGTGACCTTTAGCGAAGGAATTATGAAATGTTTGTCAGTAACTTCAGTACGCGTTCGGAGACGGTAAATGAAGGAATTTCAATTTCATTGAAACAGTCTTAAATTAAATGTTTATTTTAGAAGGTGTTCAAAATGTGCACCATGAACCTGGATACATTTTTGGAGGCGGTAAATAAATTCTTGCTGAACATTTTTCAGTTGTTCTACAGTAATTGATCTACATGCATGTAGAATCCTTTGTCGCATGTTTTCTGCTGTTGTGGGAATATCATTGTAAACTGTATTTTTTAGGTGCCCCCACAGAAAGAAATCAAGTGGCGTAAGATCCGGCGATCATAAAATCATTTCCACTTTTTCTGCTGTAGTGTACATGACGGAGAATCTTATTACACTACTATCGATACCGCAACTTGTTGTGTACGCGTCGCGGCTTTTTGACAACGCGCTATTGACCCGCTTCGGTCATTCCCCTCTTACAATAATAATGCTTGTAAACATACTTCAACCGTTGAAAGGAGAATATGAATATCTATTTATAAGCACCAGAAACAATTACACGGTACACTGTTTCAATGAAATTGAAATTCCTTCATTTACCGTCTCCGAACGCGTACTGCAGTTACTGACAAACATTTCATAATTCCTTCGCTAAAGGTCACGTGAAGGTCAACATATCGCACATCGTTGGATTCGTCTTTTTATAAGCTATAAGACTGTTGTAGCGAAAATATGTGGTCCCATTTAAAAAAATACGATGACCTTGAAATCTCGAAAAAAATGACCTTGAAAAAAAAATTCGATCCATCACCGTATTGGCGCCTTCGAACAGAATACTTTCTCCCCTTGACTTTTTTTTCTATCATACAAAATAAGCGATATATTTAAGGTGGTCAAGTTAGGTGAAATACCCTGTATAATGGCGATTCACTAGAAAAGAAACTTCTCAAACAAGTTTGTTTTCATTTAGTGAAGCGAATATATAATATAAATTATACATAAAATGATACTCACGACGGTGACGGCATCGTTCAAAAGACTCTCTCCGAATACCACGATGTACAGGATCTCGTTCACGTGAATTTCCTCGAAGACGGCCAACACAGCAACGGGATCGACGGCGCTGATCAACGCGGAGAAGAGGAACATGTCCAGTATCGGTGTTTCGCAGCCGAACAGACCGCTCTTACCCAACACCCACAGAGATGCGCCTGAGAACAATCCGCCATAATGAAAAATATCGATTTGCTCCAGTGTGAACTTCCCTCCAAAACGAAAAGAATTCAGCAAATTAGTCAATTAGCTCAATTGACTAAAAAAAATTCAGCAAATTAGCTCAATTTCTTGTCGAATATTGTTCAAAGTGATTTTTAAATATTCTACAGTTACTTTGGTAAATAATTATTCCAAGATAGTTTTATTGACACTTCGCGTGAAGTGAATATTAATCCAGTGGCAGGAGATAGTTCCCTATCTTCGATCGTTCTTATCGAATAGTTCATTATCTCGTTTTTATTTGGGAACTGATTTATTATAATACACGATAAGGATAGCTGTCCAGTGCTGGTATTGTTCGTATCAGATAAACGCCCCTTTATCTAAGTTCGAAAATAGATTCTAAAATAATTGTCCAAGCGTTTTGACGGTGAACACCAACCATGTTCGATCGAAAATAATTTATAAGGCGTTGTGACGATGCAGGCGACAATGCAGTGTTTCGAAAACCGTTCGTGGACTAATTTTGCAACGAAGGCAGTGCTCTTCGGGGGCCTCGAACAACGCGATCAGCAATTTTGGAGCGGCCTCCTCCATCGTTGCGAATATTCACAGCAATCGTTCATCGTTAATAATAACAAAATGCACGGACCTCCGAAACTGGCGTACAGACGGTGTCTTTAATTATCGTGGGCATCATCATTTTCGTTAAAATCGTTGGTGTCGCAACGAGGGACGACTCGTTTCGTAAACAGAAACCGCGTGGGCAATTTTACGTCCGTTTCCTTCGATGAGTTTAGAACTCGCGCGTTTCTGTCGGGGAACGATTACGAAATAGGTAGTCGAACTTCGGTTTTCGCTGAAAGCCTTCCGCATCATAAACGCTTCTCTTTCGTAACAAAGTTTCCGCGAAGAGTTTCCTGCGCAAGTCGAAAAGTATATGCTATCATCGCTGACAAAGTATAACAATATTCGTAGCGCGCATCAGTTTGGCGCCGTGTGTATTTTTAAGCGTGCAATAAATCCCAAACTTCTTGGCGAACCAACAGAGGAAAAGGAGAAATTATTTTGGATACGTTAATCGAGCGTTCGATTCAATCCGATCGTGTTTCTGCTCCGTTCTCCAATTTTACTCCATCGAAGTCCCGGCGAATGTTATTTTTTTTATAATCGTTCCACGGCTTTAAATCTAGGATCAATTTCTCCGAGACTTTGGAATATTTCATCAGTTTATAAAAAATTAAATCACACATTTGACTGTTCAAAAAGGATTCCTATTAGTTCCAACCAGAATATTCAAGAGCTATCGGATCTATTTTACGCGTCAATAGTGCATCAAAGTAGTATATTTTATTCACAAACCCCACGTCTAGTCAAACGTGACCCAAAGTCGCATTCCCGAAGGATTAGGGTTAAATTTATTTGCCCCGCTCGTGACAGCAAATATCCGCGTTGACGGTTTGATTAGGTCGAAGAACGTCGCGATGAATTATTCCTCGCGTGTCCCGTCAGATCGTAATAGATTTTTTTTTTCTAGCAACGTTATCGTAATATGTGAATTTCTCGTCGCGCCAAAAACGAGGATCGAGCGCGAGGAAAACGCGCGTCGACGCTCGTACAGGTTTACGACTGTGTGCTTTATTGATCGATGCATCTTTCAACTTTTTTACGGGACAATTACTTATAAAAAGGTAGAACCGACAACAACAGAACGCTGGATTGTTAATAAATATGGCTACGGTAAAAATGGAGTTATTAATCTTCGCATCGATCTACGTCGACTCCGCAGGAAACTCAGGAACTTTCCGCTCGACCCACCGCTTCAAGTGGGTGGAATGTTTACGTTTAACTGTCTTCTGGACTTGCGCGAGGGCGGAGTTTAGATAAAAAGTAATTGGTGTTATTACCGTTGGATAACCGAGATTCTTGGATTGATATTAATTGCTTGAAGGATAACCGATGTATATTTATGCAAACGTAAAATAGATTAACACTGTAAACAGGAAGCTAGAAAGCTCAAACGTTCCTTCTTCCGAGCTACTTGCTTAGAAATGAAAAAATTGCAATACGCGAATGAGTTCATACGGAGGCAGTGATATTCGAATAGAGCCAGTAGCGGTTTGATTATTTTTGAACCATTGGAATAACCTCAGCCTTGACTCTGTTCCGTTAACGGAGGAGAGGACGAAGCGCACCTTGAATGGCTGCCAAAATCTTGGTCGCAGTACCTATCGATATTGACTCTCGGCGCTACATCATTAAATTTTCCGTTTAAACGTGTTACAATCTTCCGCCGTTTTTCCACGGATCAGCCCTTTGCTTTCGCGCGACCTATTAATTGGAATTAACGAGGTTCCGGCGCTTGACAGGCAACGACATTACCATTTATCTGTAAACGGAGGCGCCTCTGAAATATCAAAAGGCATCGCCTTGACTTTTTCATCAGCGCGCGGGAACAACGAAACGCAATCCTTTCCCGAACAGATCGATACTCCGTGGCGTCATTATCGCAAAAAAGAAAAAAAAGCACGAAACACCGTCTCTTATTTTAATTGCAAATAAAAGTTGTCCCCGGGGCTCAGGTGGCAAAAAGGAGCGTTTATAACCGGAGGGGAAGTATTTCTGGAGCCGCGTTAACAAGTTAATGTTTGCACATCCGTTTCAGAATCACCCCCGTGCACGTCGTACCGTAGCTATATATCACGCGAGCGTGCGCGTCAAACAGTGGACAAACAAGGGAAAAGAAGAAAAAACACGGGAAAGGTGTAAACAGCAGAAAACGGGCCAGCGCGGACGATGTTATCCCAGGGAGTAAAACGGATTAAAACGAAAAAGAAAGGGGAAGAAAAAAAAAGTGAAGGCTCGACCGGCGTGGTCGTACGTCGTCGTGCGACACGGTTTCGTTTTATCCGTTCTACCGACCTATCGACATCGTGTTGAATATAGTCCCAACGACGGCGAACAGGAGTATCGTCCCCAGGTGGTCGAAGAACAGTCGGTTCGGCATGAAGTAACCGGCGTCCAGGATAATGGGCGGCAGCATGTACAGGAAGAACGTGTCGGGCGTGAGCGGCGACACGTGGACGCTGCTCGCCTGGAACAGTAAGACACCAACCACGACGCCGACAACGATCAGCAAACAGGACTCCGGAAAGATCTTGCTGAGCCTCGGCGTCATGTGAAAGCCTGCACGTACAATCGTAACTTAACCATCTAGCTTACGGTCGAAAGCCAAACAAACGCGCGGAAACTTGGCGTTTCCGCCAAACACTTTCGCGATAAACAACTTGTCCACGCTATCCGTCGATCAACCGTTCATTGAAACGCTCCAAACGACCGGATATCGTCCTAATAAACCCATCGAAGCACGTTTCGCGAGGAACCCGGATAACTGATCGAGTTCTCAACCCGGATAACTGAACCGCGAGCCGTTCGTTTCTTCTTCCAGTTATTTCCAGGCTATCAGAAAAATCCACAATTATTTATGAACGTTAATGGAAATGTAAATTAATCACTGGGGAAAGCACGTCTTTAAGGATTCCGATAAAGTGTAAAGTACTCGCGAGCAAACTGGTAATATTAATGCACCACGTGATAAACCACACTAACGTTGTTATAGTTAATTTGAATGCCGCGTGCGAATCTAGATTTTAATGAAATTGCCCTTACAGACCGGTAAAGAAACCATCGTAAACGTCTGATATCAGGAACTGTGCGCATTAGTCTTCGCTGGGCTCGGTGGCAGAAAGCAAATGTGAATTTTTTTGACACGATTGCAATCACGTATCGGTGAATTTGCTTAAGAATGGACGCATTACACGCATTCCTTCAAGCTTTTCTAAGCTTTCGTATTATGATGCTAAAGTGTATGTAAATATATTTATATACTTGCGTTTCTAGTTCAATAATAGCGCCATACTCCTTGCTCACTATCGTATGAACCCCTGATTTGCTCTTCCTCTGTTTCAACGCGCGTGTCGCATCAGCACGCAACGTGGACTTATTAAGCATGTTCGCAAGATTGTTACTAGGTCGTATATTAGTATTCCGTGGCGGATTAAGGAGAGCTCATACTTGAATTACTTAAACAAACGATCAATTATACGACAATTATACGAAATTCTACTCGTACACGTTCGCTTTCTTTTTACTTTCATTTTTCACTCGATGCACAGTTTATATGTATATTTGCGTGCAAACAATCGCAGGCACGGTAAAGACGTGTTATTATTATCTCATTCACTCTCGCGGTACATGCGAGGCGAGGCTCGAGATCAAGATAATAAAGGTCAATTCCTAGAAAAGAAACTGAAATTGATTTACGGGTGATTACTATATCGCGAACGGACCTTGAGGGACCTTCTCGCTTTCGATCGTGCTTCAGAGCTTTTTTTGCAAAGAAAGTGAATTTCAATTATTTATAAATCTGCCGAATTTTCATGATTTGAACGCTGTAGACTTTCGAGGAAACACGCGACAACGTTTGTACCTTTCGAAATCTCCAAAGTGCAAAGACGTCTTTCGTTTCAATATGGCGGATTCGCGCGATCCAGCGAAACGTTCTTCGATGGGTTTTGTACAGGGATATTTCCTTCGTGGAATGTCTATGAACGGTTGCTGTACCGACAGCGTAAATCCACCTGTGAGCAGATCAGAATCCATTGGTCGCTCAAAGCCAATAAGCCTTCATCCCCGCCGTTTCGATTCTCTCAACAATTCCAAGACCCTCGGATAGAGAAGCAAACCAGTACGGAGGTAAAAGTGCCCAACGCGATTAGCAGCAGGGCCACTGGCCTCGAGCGACCAATCGAGAACGACCCGAATCTATGGGGTGTTCCAGATAGTGATGGGATTCAAGCCAACTTGAGCTCAGAAGCGAAAACTCAAGCCAGCTCAAGCTGTTTGGCTTGAAACGGCTCGAATCGGCTTGAATGGGCTCGAATCGGCTTCAATGGCTCGATCAGGGTCGCTTTATACCAAACGAAGACCCACGTTTCAAAGCTTCGGTGTCTTCGTATTCGTAATAATTTTATTCCCAAACCTGTGCCTCGTAACAGCTTTTCTAAGAAATTAATATTTCGTGAGATGTCTTGTCGATCATTAAAAATTAAAATGTCTGGTAGTTTCCTTACGTAGGAAATTGTTCGTTCCAATTATCGTATCGTGTTAATCTCAAACGAGAGATCGTACGGATACATTTTGCTTAAAAGTCACGAGTTTGAAGGTAAAAATTGTGTGATTTTGAAGATGGCGACCCTGGAACATTGAGACGAGTACGGGCCGCGCGTCCGCGAAGTCGGCTTTGATCAAAGCATCTTGGACAGTCCATTGAAGCTGTTTCGAGACAACTAAGCCGTTCGAGTCGTTTCAAGCCGAACTGGCTTGCAAGCTAGATGAACCTGGCTCAAGCTTCCATCGGCCTGACTTGTTTGAAAGCTTGCAAGCTGGCCTGAATGCCGTCTCTGGTTCCGGGACGCGGGAAACAAGCGGGCAGGCAGCGATTCTACGCGTACAAATAAATCGAACATTTTATTTCGCACGAGGCTTCGTTTTCGAGGACGTTGGGCTTGGAAATTAATCGAGTGCACGCGTATTCGATTCGGAGAGAAACATCGGATCCAGATCGATGCAGAAAACGTTTAATATAAATAAAGTTGAGCTCGTACAGCCATTCGAGTTATTTATTGGAAAGTGCACGAAGCATCATTTGATGGATAATCTCCAATTTTTATAAAGTAAAACATTGAAAGGTATAGAACATGAAGGCTGACACGAAGCGTCAGACCCAATAAGACTCGCAATTCCTCACAGAACCGAGCTTTCTTTCTTTAAATATTTAACTACGTTTCTACGTAACAACCCGGGTTACTGTACAGAACATCTGCCCGTGTTTGTGTTCATAAACATTAGCGATGTCGTGCATCGACGACCATCAATTGTGTTTCCTTACTATCGGTTCGAACTATCAGTATCGATGAAGCTTTCGCGATGGCCCGATACAGTAACTACGAGTACAAGGACATGGTGCTTGCATTAAGAGCTCCTGGCGGTATTGCTACAGCTGCAGTCGAATACTGCAGAGAGCGATTTTCGGATCGTTGCCACACAGAAAGCTAGTCTATATGGAGGACAGAATACAGACTGACGCGGTTCTTCCGAATTATGTCATAAACGAGGCGGCCTCTGTCGATACTTCGACTTGGAGAATGTTTTACGAAGCCTACACAGCAATTTGCACAAAACAAGGAATAAATATAATTATTCGAACCGTTAAAACGTGTTGTCAGTTAGTATGCTTCATTACGCACGTCCAAGGTAGCAGTGAACAGTGAAATCCGTTAAATTGGGAGTTAAACAAGTACCGTGTTGAGTCGAGATGTTTGCCTCTGAGGGCTACAAAGCATTTCCGCCTCCTAATTGGTAGAATACACGTCACGAATGTCACCGAACCGATCGGAAATCTCACGCCATACGTGCATCGCTATAGCACGAACAAATTTCGTGATGCAAAGCGTATTTTCCGAAAACGAAGTCTCCGAACAGATCTTATTCCATATTCTCGATTTATTTTCTTACGCTTAGAATCTCCGTCCTGCGTATCGCAATATATCGGACCCATTTGAGTGACAAATTAGGGGCACGTAAGCAATTAAAAAAGCTCGTATAAATAAGTGTCCTACGTGACCTTCCCGAGGCATAGCTATTTTTGAAAATAAATTAAAACTTGTCTATTAAACGTTGATTATACTTAACCCATTAGCTGCCAATTATTGATTTTTTTACAGTAGTTTGAACAATATTTTCTGCAGAAACAATCAAAGGTATTTTAGAAGGGGATAAGTTTTCTAAATGTGTCTTTTGGAAAGGCATTAACTTGGGATTTTTATAACTCGTCTTCTTTCGTTCAGTTTTGTTTACCGTATCGTTTGTCATAAATTTTTGTGTCAAACTGATACAAAGTTTCAAAATATTTTTTAAATAATCAAATTTCTTTCCGAATTTCGATTCAATATATTATGAATCATTCGATTCGAAATCTAAAGTCAAAGAGGTATTTATATTATATGTTATTTCATTCAATTTCCGAGTAAATTGATTGAGCATTAGAGTAACAGCGAACGCAAACACGTTCCAGTTATTTGTCAACGTTTCGATCACGTGGAGTAGGCGTGATCCTCTTTAGAGCGACGAGCATACTATGCGCGATGGTGTAGAAGTGCACGGCGGCTCATTGTATGAATACGCGATGCAGGATAAAGCACAAGTTGAAATTCAAAACAAAAGATTTGCATATTATGGAGAGGAAAAACAAACAGGGAAATAACAGAGGTTGTCCATTTGTAAAAATAAAAACGGCAGTTCCGTTGGTAGCATTGTTCGCTAGAAATCAGTTTTCTGTTTTTCGTTCGGTCCGCGTTTAGATCCGACGATCGACGTGTTAAGTCTCCACGTGGACTATGGTGATCAAAACGTTCCAAAACAGAGTTCGATTCGAATCGTTTAACACGTTGATCTCCGTTGGCAGTTTTTCGTATTCAAAATATAGCGTGAAAAATAGAAATATTCGGTGCAATGGTGTGTATTTTACGAGTACTAAGTTTCTGCGCTAGCCAGCAGAGGGCTACGCTCGATTTGTCTCTCTCGCAAGTACGCGACCGACTTCTTATCGGTAAACGATTTTTCAACACGTGAGTTTGAACTACCAGTCAACGTGTTAAGAAAAAAAGAAATGGCTAACCATGCGATCGTAAAGATTAAAGTGGAACACCCTCGGTGTGTGTAAAGGCAAGCTTCTCGTGTTAGACGCTGCACATCCACCGCGGTGCAAAAATAGCTATAACTTGGGAACAAGGTCAACGCGTGGCACGCGTTTATATGAACTTTTTCCATTGTTTCCGTGTCCCCGATCCGGCGTCGAAGTGGGTCCCCCGCGCGTTACGCCGACAGGCCGGAACCGAATTCGCCGATAAAACCCAGCGAACGCGAACGTTCGAACGAACCGTTGCGATTCGCCGCGTTTGCCCACCTATTTTCGCGATGCTGGCGAAGAAGATCCATATGCCGATGACGAACGGCGTCTCGACGCGATGGAACTCCACCGAGATGACTTTGTAGTCCGGTTTCGGATGTAGGGGCTTGCCCGGCCCCGCCTCGGCCCCGTGAGAGGCTAGATGAGACTCCACCGGATGACTGGCGTCGCCTTTACCCGCCGACAGGCTTCGAAAGGAGACGTCGTCCGGCAAGGAGCCGTCTACTGGCCCCATTGGACCGAAACTCTTCCCCGGATACGGTTCTCGTAGGTCGCGCGGGAACTCTTGTTCGTCGACGATCGGTCCGTGCATCGCGTAGTCGTCGATCGGTATACGTTTGTCCGCCTGAAGGTGTTCCGGTACGGACTCGTAGAACCTCGCGAGGCCTGCCTGGCCGCATCTCGGCCAGCATACCAGGATCACCAGAGCGAGCACGATCATCGGGGGGCCTGCACGTGGAACCATGGTGTTGTATTTGCGCCGCGACGACGGCATGGACGCTGTTTTCGGGGACTGCGCACGTCGTATGCGCTCGTCCACCGGTTCTGAGTCACTCGTTGTACCATCAGAAGGGGGACTCCCGGCCACGAGTAACCTGCGTTCTCACCCCTCGTCGACGCTTCAGCGCACCCTCGGTTCGCGATTCTTCGATTCGCGCGAGGCGCAAGTCTCGAGTGGTATTAATTAATCGTCTCGTCGATAATACGTTTTATCGCGTAACCGAGCGCGGTTCGTTTCGTCGCGCGACAACCGCTCCCGGAATCCCGACTATCGATTCCCGAACGCGCCAGGAATCTCGCCAGCGAGGCCAACCTCCCGTCGACTGCTTCTCTTCGATCTTTCCCCGACCGTCGACGTTCTATATCCGTATCCCGGCGGCCTTTTTCGGGCAGCACCAGGACCCTCGGTGTCGTCGAACCCTTCCTCGAGCCGCGAACACCTACGCGCGGGCAACCGTGACTCGCTTACGTCCGGCGACAATCGACTCGTTCGAGGTTATTTGTTTCGGGTAGTACTCACCGCCCCGATGCTATCCGTTCGCTCGAACAACGGCTATCGAATGCTAATCCTTTCTTCGTACGCAGCTGCAACCGAACATGGAACTTCCTCTCGTTCGCGCGACTCCGGATCTCGTTGTTTACACCTCGAGGCTCCGGGACCAGGTCCTCTGTCGAGAGGATTTACAATCTTACGGCAGACTAGCGTGCCTTCGCGCGATTTCGTAAGGAATCCGTCACGAGTGACGCGAGACGCACCTGATAGACGGCGGAATCCATAATCGGTTAGGTATGCCTGGTCGTCGACGCACACAGGATGCGGCGGTTAGAACGATGGCGGTTCTCCGGTACAGCTATCACGTAGTTGTGCGCGTTCCGTTGTCTAGGGGTAGGTCACTTCGAAACGTTTACGCGACCACTGGACGATGCACGAGCCTGCTGGACACGCAATGGGCCAAGAACAACGACGACGGCTCTGTCGGGACGTGGTAGCGTCGGGGCCGATGCATCGTTGAGGTGCATTCCCAGGTAGACCAGCGGCGCGCTTCGATCGACCGTCACGGCAGCACTGCGCGACTTAAATCAGCGACGCGCTGCGCGCCGGTTCGCGAGCTACGTTCACGACGACGACGGACACCATTGCCACGGCTAAGGGCACGGAACACCGCTGCCAAAAACGTGCGTACCTGCCGACGAGGCTACCCATGACGTCGCTACTGATAGGCATACGCGATGGGTGCGCGCGGCTCCCGCTCCGCTTCGTCCTCCACCGGCCACGCGTCGTCCCGCTTCGATCCGCTTTCGATTCCCTCGTCCCGTCTCTCTCTCTCTCTCTCTCTCTATCCGCGTGGAACCCCTTACGTCTCCGCGCTGGCTTTCCAGACAGCTGATCGTTGCGGGAACCCGCGCAGGCGTCGCGACGCTTCGATATAGTATCGCGCGACGTCGCTGGGGCGTGCATGGACGCGCCGCGGCGCCTACACGAGAACCGTTGTTTAGAGTTTCGCCGCTGGAGGCGGCCTGTCGCGCAACGGGTACCCAGGTGCACGGGAAAATTGTAACGAAATTGGAATTCCGGGCCGGTCGTTTCCGGTGATCGATCAAGATGGCCTCTTCGGGGGACGAAAGAAATCGGCGAACCTTCAAGATAGATACACTGGCAGAGACGATGTTCCGCGAACGTGTCGCGTACGGAAAATAACTTTTCCTCTTCGATTTCCGGGGGCGCGTTCCGTTCGGTGAATTCGAAATTTTCCATTTTCGGTGGGTATTCCGGGCGCATAGGCGAGGAGGTCAGGTGTGTGTCTATAGCGGACTAGGGAATCCGGCCAGAGGGCGACCTTAAACCAGCCGCACGTCGCGACGCCGGATTCCCGAGACACCTTTGTCCCTGACCTTGTCACTGTTGCGCTAGCGAAACGCTCGCCTCGCCGCGACATTCAGCCGGAGCCTTTCCATCATGCTCCCGTGACCTACACCCCTTTCGCTCTGTCCCACACTGCTTATCTTTTTTTCCACTGACGCGACCGAGTTCGAGGGTCGATCGTTCGTTAATCAAACCACGTTGTCTGGGCAAATATTGTTACACGGGCTCTGCCTGACCCGAAAGGTAACCTTGGGTAAACACAGGTGATACACGCGTTCTTTTATCCTTTGGTCATACCCCTTTTATCACTTGGTTAAAGACAGGTTCGTCTCATTTTTGTAATTGTACCGTTTTTATTAATTTATTCTATTTCTCGAGTTTATGTTCATGTCGGGGAGTGTACATATAGCGTTAGAAGATCGACCGCTTGCGAGAGAGACAGGCTGAGCGTAGCCCTCTGCTGGCCAGATTCTTGAAATATTAGCAATCCTTTTTTTGCCCACTCAGTAGCACTTAAAGCTCTTTTACAAAATACTTTATTCATATCAACCTGTAGAATACTGCTTTTAGTTTTTTGCTTTCAAAGGAACATTTTTGCAATTATTTCTTTCGGAACCTAATACATTCTCATCGTCCCTGCGCTCTGTACTTCCGATCCTGATCATTAATATCAAATACGTCATGCGAGGAGTTATTTATATCAATTTCTGTACAAATATCCTGACAAGGGAGAAGAGAATAAATCAGAAACAGCAACGAAAGAATTTAAATATCAGTGTACGTACGGAAATTTAGATAGGACAATAGAAGTCGCATAAATCATGATCAGGCGTCAGTTTGACACCGAACCCGGAACACGGAAGCAACGAAAAAAGGGCACGTGTCTTTTTTTCATAGCAAGTGCTCGGATACTGAATTGTAAACTACTATGGCACGAAATGTTTAGTCGACAGTCAGGGAATATAGAAGTAATTTTGACGTCACCGGTTGAAGGTTATTATACTGGATGATCATAGTAATCTGACTAGATTGTAGCTCTATCATGAGAGAAGATAAACATAAGAAAGCAAGACGAGGTTGTGTTCTTTTAATTAACGAGATACCAATTTGAATTATCCAAACTTTACTCGTTATTCTTCGTTCGGCTATAATTGTCTGTGGGTTATTTTTGTGGTTTAAAGGATTGTTAAAAATGAAATACCCTTCGTTGTTCCACGTTTTTGGAGAGTGCATCTATACGAATGGGCACCATTCCAGAAATTTGCCACGAAATTAAAACCGCACGCTTGACAGTTATATGCACGTATCTATATTTATCTTCGAAGGAATTCAAAATCGAAGCTAAGATAACGAATAATTCCACGGGTTCTCCACGTTCTCGTCTGGAGTATTTCGAAAGCAAATTCGACGGAACGAAATATAACCAATATCGTTTACAAGGTCTCGACAACTAAAAAACAAAAAAAACGTATCGACCGACACAAACAAATATACGACTCCGTTTAAAATTAAATCCGATTACTACGAATAAAGTTATCTCGGCACGGAACATTTTGTTCGTCAAAATCGCCGTGGAATTATTACGTTATTTGCGAATGCGCTGCGGTAAACACGCCATAAAAAAATGTAAACAATTGTAACGCATCGGCCGTGACACTCCGAAAAAAGTAATACGACACGTTTGCGCAAAGCGAAATAAAAAAATTGTTGGATAAAACGTTTTGAAACATACAGGGCGATAAAGAAAAACGGATCAGAATTTTCTGGACAAATAGTACTCGGCGAGTGGAAAAAATAGTTAGTCTTTCAACCCATCTATCATTTTTCTTTTTTCTCATCATTCTCGTTGGATTGTTTACCCTCGACGAGTAACAACATCAACGTAATTAAATGGACGTTGCCGTTCGGACCAACTTTCGTTCGTTGTGAAAAGAAAAATGGATATGGTGGCTTTTATTTGCGACGTTGCACGAAACTACGAGATAATGAATACCGCCGTAATTATAAAATCCACACTGCTGTTTAAATTATTTTTACGCGTCTCGAGAAAACGCGAGTTTTTTGTATTCAGTTTCGTACGATTGTTCCGTAAATTTTTTAAACGCGAGCAGAATCATTTTCGGTAATTGGAACATAACTCGCGGCGGAAAATTTTGAAGAATTGAGAAATATTTCGGTATAGCAGAACTATCTGTTCCGGTTATTAGTATCACTCTGTATGCCAAGGTTTGATTAATTGCTGCGTACGATCCAAAGTGTTTTGTCAAACATTTTCTTTTTTATTTGCATTCTGTTCAAACATATCGCACTACTCTTTCAGTGTGTCACGACCGATGCGCCAGGATTGTTTACTTTTTTTATCGCGTGTTTACCACAGTGCATTCGCAAATAATGTAATAATTCCACAGTCGATTTTGACCGGAGCAAAAAGTTTCGCTGCAAGATAACTTGCGGCGATATTTTTCTTCAAACATTCACACATTGTAAATAAAACTTTTCCAACGAACTTTATTTTGTTGTCCTTCAATTTATCGTATTTGCGTTTGAGACGCGCACAGACGTCGTTTATTAATTATTCGTTATTTTCGTTTCGAACTTGAGATCGTATTGTTGTTATCATTTTATTCCTCGTGATTCGGTTGATTCAATGTAGAGGCCAATATAGGCGTTTTATGCATGCAATTGAAAACCATTTGATATTAATATCGTGGCAAATATCTGGAATTCTGCCCATTCGTATCGATGCACTCTCCAAAACGATGCATGATGAATAGTGTTCGGTTTTTAACAATCTTGCAGACCGCGGAAATATTTCACGAAAATCGACGGTCGAATAAAGAATAACGTGCTAACTTGGTAAATCCAAATTTCTGTAATTATCCTAATTTTTAAAAACTTTTATGCTTCATCTTTCAGTTTTTACGCATTACCAGGGTGGAATATATTATGATTAAATTATTTTTAACTATTAAAACTATGTCCACTTTGAAATGACTGCAGCAACGACTTTCACGGGTCACGTGGCACAAGCACAGTTTTAAAGTAGAAAAGTTCTGCATGCGAGGCCATTTCGCGGCAGGCTTATTACTGAATTTGTTGATATTTATCGCTGACATATTTTTTTCTGTAACTTCCCCGAACGGCAAACATTAACTTCAATACTTTTTTACCTGACTTTCGTTTCCTGCGAGATGCTTCAAAGGCCCGACAGAGTACTAAAAAAGTAACACGATTTATCGTTCCGCGTTTACCGAAGTACGAACCGATATCGACAAACATTACTTCAAACGTTTGTCGCGAAGTTAATATCAAGACAAATGAACAGAACGGCCATGATCGATTTATCCGCCAATAATTTGTCGATCTGTATATTTCCTTTTTATTTTCGTTCACAAGTTCAACAGGAATGGTTAAGTTTCTCTCTAAAAAATTCAAACCGTTCTCCAACAAGCTGCCGCGATCTTCCCTATTACGTAACTGTCGCGAACTCGAAAGAATTGATATTGAAATAAATTGTGCCCACGATCGATCTCTCCGTCCATAATTTACTTCTTATTTTTCTACACCGCGAGCTCATCAGGAATGATCGAGTTTGTCTAAACAATTCAAACCGTTCTGCAACAAGCTGCCACCATCTTCCCTATTACATAACTGTCGCGTAAACGAAAGAATTGATCTCGAAGTGAACCGTGTGGTTTTTTGTTTATTTTCGTGTTCGCCGCGAGCTCAACAGGAACGATTAAGTTTGTTTTCGAAAGATTCGCTCTGCAACAACTTGCCATAATCGTCTGCAACATGTAACTGTCGCGACAGCGAAATGTGCGGCCACGGATCGATCTGTCCGTCAATAATTTTTCGCGATGTGTGTGTGTGTGTGTTTTTTTTTATTTTCATGCTCACCGCGAGCTCAACAGGAATGATTAAGTTAGTCTGTCTCTAACAGAGCGTTCCGCGAAGTGACAAAACCGTCGATGAACAAATTGATAAGCGACGCATGTCGCGGAATTTAATTGGCGATGAACAGAGGCGAATCGCCAACTTCCATCGCATCGGTTGATAACAACGGGTTGGGTAACACGCTCAAATACACACGGCATCCTCGACGCCGATTTTACTCTGCACACGATGGAACACAGATATTCCCGTCACAGCGATTGTTTAACGAACGCAGCGAGCGTTTAAATCGCCGCGCGGCGAGAAGCTTCAGATAAGAGCTTATTCCGGTTGCTTGCGCGGCGAATCTATTATCAGCAACCAGACCAGATCGCATCTGGTTACGAGCACGGTTGACGTGTTTTATTTACAGCGGTCGGGATGTAATCGGGGGAGACCCAATTTCTTCCTGGCTTTTCTTCGTCAGACCCCGGCGCGGAGTGTCGCGCTCTATTGATGACGGCAATTCCGCCGCCTGCACA